CTGTCCACACATCCAATCTATCCCAGTTACTAAATATCTTGGTGTCTATATTGACCAAAACTTAAATTTTAAACATCACATTAATGCTGTTACTAGTAGAGTTCGCAAATTAATATATATATTTAGAAAACTTCGCTACATTGCTTCACACTCCATTCTCAAAACTACATATTATGCATTATGTCAAAGTATTATCACTTATTGCATTACTGCTTGGGGTGGAGCACCTAAAACTAACCTTTTACAATTGGAACGAGCGCAGCGTGCTGTATTAAAAGTTAGTAACTTTCGCCCCATACGCTTCCCAACCAATGATCTTTATTTAGCTTGCAAAGTGTTAACCGTAAGACGAACCATTCATAATGAATACTATTCTATACGTACACACTAGAACACCTTTTATTTATTCTAATAAGAGAAGGAATTTTCATGTTTGTCAAACACCTAAGATAAATTTTACATTTACAAAAAAAATTATTATATTTCTCGGTCCACACTTATATAATAAAATCAATAAAATTATATAACATCACAATCTATCATATTCATGCTGTAAGAAATTAATCTACAGCTGGTTACTCGGAAGGTCATATGAAGAAACGGAAAAACTTCTAACAGTAATATCCTGACATAATATTACACACACATACACAACATTTGTGCTCTTTCACTCACACAAAAACACAAACATACACACACACTCACACAAACACACACACACACACACACACACACACAAAAACACAAACATACACTCACACACACACACACACACACAAAATACCTGATTTTAAGTGAACAATGTTGGTTAATAATTAAAGGGAATTGTTCAGTTTGTATGGGCACTTTGGCTTTGAGTGGACATTATCTATAGTTATAAAAAACATTATTTTTTAATATTTCATGTCTTAAAGAAGTTAACTATTGTAATATTTTCATGGGAAAGTTTAACATTGTATATATATAAGCATGTGTAGTATTCCATAAACGATGTAACGATAAAGTTCTTTTTTGTAAAATACTTTAATTACCTTATCATCATATTGATTTATTTATGTTAGAAATAACAAACAGAGATGGTTTAATAAAGAAATTGTAGATTTACACATATTTACCTTTAATTTGAAAATACAATTGTACAAGCAAAAGACAATAAATACACTTATTTATAAGAATAGACTTTACAAAATCACTTAATAAATAAATTACACTGTTCATACAGTTTCTCTTCAGCTGGAGGCTGGCTTTACGGTGGTCAATGAATTATGAGAAACAAATTCAACATTCAGTAATTCACAAACTGCTCCTAATAGTTTTTTTAACGTTGAATGAGGTATATTTAATAAAGTTGATATTCTCTCATCACTATCCCCAGTTCTTAGTTTAATTAAATAAGCAACAAGCCCTAACTCCCCAATATGCATCTCAGATAACCCAGGAAGGAATTTGATTTCAACTGAAGTTAAGACAGACCTATCCAAAAGTGCACAATGTCTTCAGGCATTCCTTCAATGTTGTTAAAAACCATTGTAAGATTCCTTTCTTTAACAAATAATACAAAATGTTGAATATGTTCTGTAGTAAATGTATGAATTAGTTGCATGATAGACAACCATTCAGTCCAATTATTATATAAACGAGAACTACACAGCCTACTGGTTTTTGGTACATAAAAGTTAAAATCAACAAACAATTTTATTCGAAGCCATGTGGGAACTGTCAGTCGCTGTGGTGAGTCACAACCCGGAACAAAACAATATGCTTGTGAATCAGGTGCTCTTTTAGAATCCGGTAAGGTAATGTTCTGTGTAGGTAGACTGGAATATTAGAAGGAACTGTTACTCTATCCGCTCACTGCCAACAAATGACAGATGCTATCAGATCCATGCACCTAAAAGAGAATAATATATTATAAAATTATTTGTCAACAAAATGTTACTTAAACGATATGGCAGCGATATATTAATGTTTTACTTTTCATAAAGGAAGCTTTATTATAGTAATCATAACAAATAAAAATAACTATAATCCTACCAGTCGTGGGGATTTCCAATCAATAATTACATTTCTAATGTGTGTTTCTCTGTCGGATATTGTTTGCAGTAGATGTGATCTAGTATGTAATATAGATCTTCCACAATTTATACAAAGCTGCCGACGATGTCCACTACTTGTGTTTGGTTCGGTGTCCAGAGGTATAGCCGGGTCATAATTTCGAGAGGTATCGGAGTCCATTATCAATGCAAACCGAAATAAATTGGTCTTCTTCTTCTTGATAGAAAGTAACAACAAAAACAAAAACAAAACATAACCTAGCCGAATAAGATTTTCTTCTTCTTCTTTTTTAATTCATGGCCAACGAATAAGATTTATTACTCAAATGTCTTTGTTGACAAAAGTGAAATGGTGCTGCCATATAAAAATCTCTTATCGATTAAAAGTATTCGATTGATTTGTATATATCTAACCGAAAAGGATTATTTGTAACGTTTTTAATACATAATATTGCAAAAAATTACCCACTATATATTAATTAATATATATATACTTTAATTACTTTCATTTTTATTAGAGTTAAAACTTATCGATTAATCGATACTATTAGTAATAGTACTTCAATAACATTTATTGATATGGAAACACAGTGAAACATGTCAACAAAACATATCCGAATCCAAAAAATACTTTTAAAAATGATATTTTTAATGTTAAGTTTCCCATGACGAGAGTATTAAAAATATTTTTTTCAGTTTTAATAATATTTTACTCTTAACATAGTTTTTACTAATTAGCTTGTCCACCAAGAGCCAAAATTGAACAATTCCCTTTGTAACTATCAGTAATTATTATAAGTAACCTTACATTTATCGTAACTTAGTGCAATCTGGTGCTCATACTAAAGGGAATATAGGGAAAGGAACTGAATCCCTAAATACAGATTATTTGTATAATCTATTAGGGTCAGTTGTGATTTATACCGTCTATAATAATTGCCTTATATAACTAATTACCTTAAGACCTGCATACCATCTGTTCAAATGTATGTTTTTTTTGTATTATTTTGGCATGAATAAAGAATTATTATTATTATTATTATTATTAATACCTAAAGAAAAAAAATGTCTCATTTAATCAATAATATTCAATGTATATCAAAAATAATATAAAGACGTCATTAGTCCAGTGTCCTTTCAATTAATTGTCTTGTAGTTTTTCAATATCGATAGTAAATAACTTTATGTCAATCACTAGTGTAATATGTCAAATTAAAATGGCTATTACACGTTTATTGCGCACTATAGATGTCTGTTATAGTTAAGCGTGATTGGTTATAGTTATATTGGAGCGTTCTGATTGGCATGTTTAAAATGCAAGTGTGTGCATTTCTTTTGTATAATTCGTCTAATATTTCGCCTGATGTAATGCGGACGAAAAGTGGGGCAAGACTGGTGATATCGGTTTTTGTATAAAAGATGCATGATCGCCTTTCTAACCTCTTTTCCGTGTTCTGTGGTTACTCGTTATAGAACAAAGCGAAGACTATTTATTCCATGCATTTCGGTCTTTAAAATAATCATCAACTTTATAAAAGCCTTTACTCATAATTATGTTCTTTACATGAATTTTAAATTTATTCATTTATTTCTATCACAAAATCAGCACGCATACATTTTAAATTATTTACAATAAAATCATTAACGTGTGCGCCGCAGCGACGCAAAAGGCTCATAGCTCATCGACTCCTTTGCTCAGGGGAGCAAATCGCCGATTTTTCAACCTTCACCCAGAGAACTAGCACGGTCTCGCACAACAGCGACACTTTAATATGTTACTCATAAATAAACAGCATATTATTATTAAATGTCATCATACACCGACTGGTCGGCTGGAGTTTAGGCGTGTCGACGTACCCCCGGTTTCAATAACCAAAAAACTATCCGTTTTTGCTACCATCCGTAGCATTTCCTACCGATGGTAGCAAAAAAATTTTTCAATAAAATACCAAGGTATGGTAGGTTAAGCTACCGACGGTGTGCTACTAACGGATTGATCTGATACTGATAACCGTTCGTAAGCAAAATGTATGAAAATGGCGCAAAAAGGTGTTTCAATAAAAACATCTATCCGTCGGTAGAGCTGTCAAACTTACTATCAGTAACTTATCTGTCAAATTTGCCTACCGGCCATTTTCCGTCGGTTATCGTAAAAATATTTAAAAATGACACGTTTTCCCTTGTTAATTAATAGAAAAACAGTTTTTCATAAAAAAATAATATTGTAGAAGAGTTTGATGTGTTTTGTGGTTCCAATTAGAAGAATTTAAGTTGTAATTATGCCAATGTCTGTACCTTTAAGGGCTCATACTACCAATGAATCATTGCTCCAGATGCTTTCTAAAATATGTTTCTGTTGAAAAACTTGATAATTTACTTCTATATAATTATGAAAAACCTTGTTCTGATGAAACTGAATTTGTCACCTACTGTACAAGTATTTTATTCGATATTGATTTACAATGCAAAACACTTAAAATTTAAAAAGTTAGAAATTCTTATAGGCTAATGTCAACAAATCTTACATTTTTATCCCCACATTGTTATACAAAATTACAATAAATTTCGGTACGTAATCAGTTCGCCTCTTTCCTATTGATGTCTCTGTCTTCCTTCTTACGATTTCGTTTTTGTCTAAGAAATTATTAAATGTTAAAGACCAACATTTCAGTATAATCATAATATTACCTAAGACAAGGCTGTATGGAAAGATCCCTTTTCCCCGAATCATATGATTACAATTTAAAAAAATGAGCTACCCACAACCGTTTGTAGTAGGCGCCTACCGATGATTGTGAAACGCAAAAAAGGAATGGTTGTCGGTAGCTCAAAAAACGGTCGGTACCTGCTACCGATGGTTGTCGGTATATTATTGAAACCGGGGGGTAGGAGGTAGCGTGAGAGTGGCCGTGAGTGTACCGCGTGTGTAGTGTATGCAGTACTCACTGTGCTGTTGTTGATGTGGCGGCGGCGGTACGTTGCCGTATGACCGGTCGCGGGGCAGGTGGTGGCCCAGCATGCGGTGGCCGGCCGCCTCCAGATTGGCGTGCGAGTGACTCCGGACCATGCCTACAACAAAACATTATATTTACTCAAACTCGAGGGACCTAATACGCAAGCGGCAAAATCAAAAATAATAGTTAACCTTCAACTTAAAATGAATTTATTTTTGATTAATATCGCCTCCCTGCCAAAGGTTAGTCGTCATACATCTTTGCAGGATAATACAGCAGACTGTTAAAATAATATTTTTACAAGTTTTTATTGTACTGTGTCGGTTGCGACGTTTAACTTTATTTTATTCACAAACAAGAGTACAACGTTTCACTAGGATATTAGATACTACATAGATGTGCGATAAATTAGGACATAGAACATGCATTATTATTTACGATGTACGCTAAATCGTTCTGTCAGATTGCGAAGATGGATGGATCCGAAACCCTCCACGCCGATTCCAGCATTATTCTCCCTACGGGACGGTACATCACAGCAAGTTTATCGGGGTTTATAGCCGTCTGGACAGGTCCCAGGTCGGTGATCCCCGATTTGAGGCACAAGGAGCATTGCCAGTGCATCAGTAAAAAAAACGTCCTGGTCGGTTTATGTGTGTTCAACGACTAACCCTGTATACCGTTACTGATATACTCGTATAGACACGCATTATTACCTATCTGCGGCCTCCAGTTCCTGTTCTCCTCGTGGGCGAGGTGGCCGGGCTTGAGCACGCGCGGCGGCTCGTGCGCGTGCTTGAGGCGGCGCGCGGGGAACACGAACTCGTCGGGGTACTGCGGGTCCTGGTAGCGCACGCACACGGCGCGGTTGTGCACCACCGCGCGCAGGCCCACCACCGGCGACGCTAGCTGCCTGCGACCGAACGACCACGCCCATTCACACACGCACAGTACACAGTACAACAACTGTGTACGCTCGAGTATTATATCTTTAGATTGCATCATTTTTCAATAAAGATAGATACATATACGAGTCTAATTGTAGCTTTATACATTGAACAGAAATTATGTTACCTAAATATCGATGTTTCGTATTAATATTATTTATATTGTTTTGATTTTATAATTGCTTATTATTTTACATTTGTCTAATTTCTATTTCATTTGTTAATCTTTTGTCTTATTCTTAATTATTTTAAATTCATTAAAACTAGCCCATTATCTTTATATGAATTGTGTAATCTTGTTGTCACTAGTATATTTCAATTAATAAATAATTATTCAAGCGGTAAAATTACATTTTATTTTTGTATAAAAATAAAATATAATGAATTATCAAAACTAGTAAAAAAAAGTTTTCGTTTCCTATATTGTCTATTGAGTTTTGATATTGCTGTTATACAAATGACCCTGTATACACAAAATTGTACACGATTAGTTAAAAAGTGGCAAAAGCAACTCTCGAGTACTAGTGTAGTAGATGTTAATTTGAGATACATTACCCGCCTATGATGACGTTGTCACAGCTCAGCATGACGTCTCCCCTGACCCCCTCGCAGCGGAACGGGTACCGCTGGTCGGCCTGTATAAGCGTCCGCAGCTGATCTCCGGCAGCCGAGTACAGGCCGGACAGGAACTCGTAGCTCTTGTTGCCGGTACACACGTACAGGCGATCGTGGCCGCGAATGTTGCGTAGCTCTACCCGACACGAGAAACAATACTTATGAACTTTCTACCGTCTTTATAATTTTCTAAATTATCCCCACCTCACAAGCATTAATTCCGAATTTGGTGTCCCACATTGGTGAAAAAATAATTTTTATTTCTTTTACAATATTCCTTGCAATTTCTTTACCTTTTCAATTTTCTTTAGACTTTAAGGAAAACATCAAAAATAAAAATAAAGCATATCCGTCCACACTTTGGTGAAAGTAAAAAGGCATAATTAATTATTTTATATGTGTATATAGATAAGAGATACTATATTGACACACAGATATATCTATACTAATATCATAAAGACGAAAGATTTGTATGTATGTTTATTTGCATTGAATAGGCTCCAAAACAACTGGACCGATTTAAAAAAAATCACCTACTAGAAGTTCCATCATATAAAAAAGAAACAGGTGATAAAGCAGGAAAGCCAAAGAGACAGAAGATTGTGATACCCTATCTATATATCTATCCAACCATATATGTTGAGCACTCACTCTCGGCCTGCGTGAGGTCCTTGTAGTAGGGCTCCAGCGCCTTGAATAGTCTGGTCTCGTCCACGAACGGCAGAAGGGCGACGCCCTGCCACGCAAACTTCTTGCCGTTCAAGTCTATCTTGAAGTCCGTCGGGTAGAAGTCTATTATCGGCGAGAACTGTGGTAAGGAAACAAATACACCACCAGAGTTAGGATAGTTCACCTTAAGCTTTTCTTATATCTACTATTATAATGTAAATACTATACCTAAACGACTTTAAAATAGGTTGTCAAGTTGTGGATAGCTTTTTTATGTATTTCCTACTATATATTTTTGTCAATAATCATGTATAAAATAAAATACTCTGACTAAGTGACCACAAAAAAATTGTAATGAAAACTTACTCTATTATAGTATATGACTCTATTATAGAAGACATTATGTAAACCAATATTAAAGATATTTTTAATAAAGTTAAGATACTGATATAACAGAATTAGCATAATTAATTTATAATCTAGTTACCGGGTCGCTCATAAGGGTGGCCCACGGTTTGGGCACGTGTTGGGCACTCGCCGCCGGGAACACTCCCATCAGCTGCTCCAACGGACGAAACTATATCACAAATATACAAACACGTTAAAAACTCATCAATTCTGTCTGTCAAGCTATGATTAAAGTATATTAAATTCGATTACTAAAGATATTTTTTCATTATATATAAATTATTAGTACATTTCTAGTAATAAAATATGTTAACCGCTTATTTTAAACAAATCAAAATCACTACCATCCACATTAACATGTACTTTTGAAATCATTTGACCCGATTAACAATAGGAAAATGCGGCTGATTCCAAAAATAGGGTTAAACATATTTTATTACGATCATTATTGTTTTAGAAGAACGTCTATGTCATATTTTTCAATGACATAGACATATTAAATGTAAATATTTTTCAACATAAGTTCGTTTTCGTCAATGAGATTCATAACTAGAGAAAGAATCCACACAAACGCACCAAAATGGGTAACACTTTTTTGAAATCAGGACGTAGCTTTGCAAATATTATTTTTATTATGGTTTAGTATATTTTTCCCGATAAACTTTAAATTAAACAAAGACAGAATATGTGCGAACGACGGAATTAACGGAAAATGGGTATTTATTTCTGTATTGCCAGTTATCGAAAAATTCACCGCTTAAGATGAATTAACAAATAAATGAATAATGTAGATTTAAGTATAAAATCAATTAGTTTTTTTTAATATATCTCTATTTGAAATTTAAAAAAAAAAATAGTCTTTCGCTGTCTTTTCGCCTTTTTATCATTTATATTAGAAAACGAGATTTCAAGATAATGTAAATATAAACAGATTTCGTTAGGAAGAGCAGTAGTTCTGGTTTAATTTTAAGGCAAGAAAACATGTTTATTTTTTCGAAATAATTGTTATAAGGCTGTCTTAAATTAAAATAAACAGTTACAAGTATTATTCCGAAAAAAAAGTAGTGTTCATAATCTTAACACAAGAAATAAAAATAAACTTGCCGTTCCAAGCTTCAGACTTCAGAAAACCAGAGGATCATTTCTGGGTAAATGCATTGCTATGTTCAATAAAGTTCCACAAAATGTAGTTGACCTACCCATAAATAAATTTAAAATTCATGTAAAGAACATACTTATGAGTATACCGCGCGCGACAAAGCACATCTTTCTTATTATTTTTCTCAACGGTCTTCCGCACTCGCAACATCTTTAAAGTGTAGATTACGCCTTAATTTTCATCTTACGTATTTATTAGTGGTGGTTGAACGACTAAGGTTCCTATAAGAATTAGGTCAATTATGTAGAGCATAGTGAGTGAGTGATGCGCGACTGACCGGCTGAGTGCCTCGCTCGAACTTGGTGTTGAGTCCGGTGATGTTGACGAAGTCCGAGGCGAAGGGCGCGTAGTGGTAGGGGAAGTACCACTTCCAGGAGGCGCAGCCCTGGTAGTAGTAGCGCAGCACCCAGCACAGCCCGCGCACGTACTGCAGCGCCACGCGGTACCTGCCACAACGCCACCAATATCTCTTAGACCCATTACATATACTCCTTATTCTGATCAAGGGGTCTATTCTGTTACTCGGAAAACGAAGTTTTTGATGACTTCAAACAATTTTTACAATTGTCACAGAGTTCTGGGTTTCCCAGATATTTGCGGCCAACCTAAGAATTTACTAGCCAAATTAAACTAGGAGCTAAACTGCTAATGTACTAGTGTCGCAATTTTAATAATTTTTTTTTTAAACAAATATGTCCGTATCCTGTTATAATAGTTAAGCATTTTAGCAAAGATATTATATTCTGAATCTACTTAAAGCGTTTTAGAATCCGCTTCTACTACTAGTACGAAATGTTGCCAAATATTACAAGATAAGTCTTAATAATTACCTAAACTCCAGGTTATCTCTGGCCACTTCGAACTTGCTCTCGTAGTACCTCTCCTTGAACCCCTCCTCCCACAGCCGCACCTCGTCATGTTTATCGTCGTCGTCGTCGTCAGAATCCATGCCCGCCTCTGTCGCGGATCGCTTGCGACTGCGCTTATCCGACTCTTCTTGCTATAAAACCAAAATCAAATAAAGCGTAACTTTATTCCAGATTAACACAGGTGAGGAATGCGTTTATAACAAAATTGATGATTTAAGAACTACCAACCTAACAAATAACGGAATGACCAGTTTAAGGGCTCATAATCACTGCACTCTTTCACTTTTGAGAAAAGTATATCATTTAATATAAACAGTATACCCGAAATTCTGTATTTTAAATATATATTTGTTTCAATCATTTAAAATATCAAATAAACTATTAATTATTAAATTTGAGTTATTGACGATTTTAATACGTCGGATTTCAGAGTCATGTCCATATTAACATACACTTTTAAGTAGTCGAAATAATTATGACCATTAATGTTAAATGTTTTGCTTGAAATTTAATAATATAGAATGTTTTAAGTCTTCGCTAGAGAATGAGGACCTTCAGAATAACTGCATATATACTGTTTTATATTGTTTGTTATAATCATTGGAGTAGCTTTTAGTAGACCCTTGTATTTATTTAACATTACGCCGTTTATTGCATTGCCAATATAATTTAGTAAGACATTCTCAAATAAATAAATCTAATAATGTTCCTTGGAACATTTACCTGTGCTATGGCTTGCATTCCAGCTCGTCGTATTTCAGCAGCCTCCTTCCGAGCGTTCTCAACTGTCGCCACTTCGCCTAACGCCTGTTGAAAATATTGTACATAAAAGTCGCTTTGATTCCTTCAAATTATCTATCTAATAATGTTATTGTATTGCGAATTAACTAAATTACAGTTAAATAATTAATAATACTTTTAAATATGTAACAGATTTGGGTCCATATTATTATTTTTGAGGATTGGAAATGGTCATTTCCTAAATTGAATCAAATTCAGTTGATTTTTTTTACTGTATGTAAAGATATTAGCTGAGTTTGATGCGCCTATTAACTGTGTAGACCGAATAAACTCCATCAGATATTGAACTTTTACACATAACTAAATAGCGATTCTCACCTTAGGTGCGAACTGAGTCTTCTCCAGCAGTGAAAAGTTGACCTTCTGTTGGCGTTTCCTGGCTTTATCGCGCGCCTTAAAGTTCAGCTCATTCGTATGTCTCCTCTTGAAGATCTCGTCCTCCACATGACCCAGCTCCGTCATTATCATCTGCACACGATCCAGGCGCACATCGCCCGAGTCTGTGATCCAACCCTAAGAAATATTCAATAGGAAATTGGATGAACAGTCTACCACAAACCACAAATTCAACAGACTAAATTGAAATACTAGAGAAAAATCTATCATTATATAACTGAACTCACCCCAGTTCTGTAAACACACTTCTTATACAAATTCACAAGCCGATCTACAGCACCCTCTCTGATCTCTAAGCTCGGTAGATGGGGCAAAAAGTCATTTCCCACAAAGAAACACATAAACACCCAGTCATCTAGTGCTCTCTCGAAGTCATACGCGAACGGAAGGTTGGGCATTTGAAGCTCCCTTTCCAGATATTCCCTCAGGACACTCAAGCGAACGAAGATGAAGTTATCCTGGTTACCAAAGGCGGGGTCCGAACGTACCAACGACGCGTCCGGACTGCTGCCTGTACATTCTTTCATTTCATGACCTGTTAAAAATTATTTTTATGAAAGTCAGATATTTATTTCAATTGTAAATTTTGTGGTAAATATTATCCTATCTATATAAATATTATGTGGTAAATATATAAATATTAACCTGGATTGATAGTCTATTTTATAGACATCTTATTTTTTTTTTATCTTTAGGCCTGGCTTTATACTGTGGACTGAAACTAAACATATATATTTTCAGTCTATGGTTTCCTGATTAAGAATTTTGATTCCGTAATCCAGAGTAATTACTTATTATGGTTTTAGTTTCATTAATTTTAAATTATGGTTAACATACCTAGTTGACCGCACACATCACAGGGACGTGGTTTGTTGGGCTTGAACTCCTCACGGATGATGGTAAAGTTTGGTTCGTGGGTCGCCAGCCCCAACATTATGAGGTCAGCGTCCGCACCGCACAGTACATGCTGCGTGTTTGGGTCGTGGTCAGGTTGTGCTAAGAAACAATAAATTAATATTACAATGGTCTTATTTTCATTATAACACATTTAGGTGTTCTTCAAAGCTTCATGTTGACATATATTATCAATGTTTTTAGTAGTATGGTATTCAACAAATTTATGATTGAAATATTTTTAGGATAAAGTAAAGCATTACAACAACTTTTAAACTAGCTTGTACACTTACCTCTTTGCCTACGAATGTAATCCATGATTTTATGTTCTCCTTCTCCTGGTACATTTGCATCAGACAAGATCACCTTGATACCCTTCCAACCAGGATCATTATTTAACCTAGGAGGATAGTTTTACTATCAAATATATACACAAAAGCAAAATTTTAAATATCTATAACTTATACATTGAAATTTTTAACTGCTTTCAAGTTATTTTTTAAGTGATTATGAAATATACAAATTGGAATTGTATCAAAAAAAAATTATCTGGGATTGATTCTATCACAGATAGAAATTTTTTGATATTATTTCTAAATTAATTTTATTACCTGTCATGTATGTAATAATGCAGACATTTACTAAGGCGGTCCATAAAAGGCGTCCCTGGAGTGATACAGTTGGAATCAAAATGGGCCTCTTTTGGCCTTTCAGGAGGCAAATAAGCACCCTTGGTGAGAAGTTCTGAACGGATTCGTGCTATCTCATCTATCTTCTCCTGAGTCTCCTTAGAAGCACGGAAACGACGTGAACGTTGCTGGTTCATTTTTGCTCTTGGCGCCTAAGATAACAAAAGCAATCATATTTTAGAGCAAATTTATTAATCAATTAGTTACATATTTAATCAATGAGTAAGAATGTTTAAACGACAATATTTAATTTTAAAGAAAATTTTATTTTGTCAAACATACTAGCATAAACTCACATATTTATTTTATTTATGGAATTTGAAATCATGAAATATTACTTTAAAAAAAATTATGTAAGTAGTAGATTCATATAAATTGAATGATAAGTCACTATTTTTGTACAAAAATACAACTATCATCCTTCCAATAGCCAAGTTTCATACTAAAATGTCACCACTTTTAACATACATATTTTATTTTAAAATGTATATGTGAAACCATTTAGAAAATCCAGTGATAACATAAATTTTTAAATCAAAATCAAAATCATTTATTCAGTCTAGGCTGTTACAAGCACTTGTGAAAGTCGAGAGCTACGCCATCGGTTCGTAAATCTACGGCGGGAGACCTTGTACCGAGAAGAACCGGCAAGAAACTCGGCAAGGGCTGCTTTTTTCTCCCTGTTTTATTTCATACATGGCGTCAAGATTGAAAAATGACTTCATTAAAATTTGAAGTCACTTTCCATTACAATATTACACAATATTAAGAGTAAAACAGTATTTTCGTCAATCCAATCACATTTGTAGCCAAAGAAGCTCACCGATTAACAATTTAATATATATGAAAAATGAGCCATATTTAACTCCAAGCAGTTTGTCGTTTAAATATTCATTAATAGTATAATATCCTTTACTGAGTAGACAATTCTTAATATGGGTTTTAAACTTAGATAATGGTAAATTTAAAATTTCCATGGGAATTTTGTTATAGTAGTGTACACCTTGACCCATAAATGACGATAGAAACATGACTATGTTTAATATAATTGTTAATATTGTTTCTAACATAAAGTATACAATTGTATATGAATGGGGAGGCCACTGTTAATATCCCAATTTCTTTGAATTGATCTCTAAGTGATGTTCTTGAACCCAATTGATAAATGGCCCTTACTGCTCTTTTTTGTAAAATAAATATAGACTCTATATAAGTTTAATTTCTGTAAGTTCAGCTTTTACATTAGGTAACATAAACTTTATACATTTCGTTTTTTTAGCATTTAACTGGAGATTATTTACAGTCAAACCAGGTCATAACCTGTGATAGAGCATTGTTTACATCGTCAAAATTATTTTTACATCTATCAATATTAAATATTAAAGAAGTATCATCTTCAAACAATACTATATCGCATAAAGTTTCGGCAAAAAATGGCAAATTATTTATGTAAGTTAGAAACAGAAAGGGACCCAGAATAGATCCCTGGGGAACTCCCATTTTTACTTGTGCTCCAGATGATCTCACACCGTTAATATCGATAGTTTGAGTTCTGCAACTGAGGTACGACAATATTAGTTGTAGGGCGGAATCTTTGATACCATAGTAATTTAGCTTCGTTACTAGTGTTCGATGCTCAACGCAATCAAATGCTTTGGATAAGTCACAAAATACTCCAAGAGCATTCTGTGACGCCTCCCAAGCTCTGAATATATGTTTAAGAAGTGCTATACCAGCATCAACAGTAGAGCAACCTTTTGTGAAACCATATTGTTTAGTATGCAGTAATTTATTTAAATTAAAATAAGACAATAACTGTTCAAGAATTATTTTTTCAAAGATTTTACTTAACGTCGGTAATATTGATATAGGTCTATAATTACTATGGTCTTCCCTATTTCCGGATTTAAAAAGAGGTATAACTTTAGCTTCATAAGATTTGGAAAAATTCCTTCATCTATACAAAGATTAAATATATAAGCCAAGTAAGGGGCTATAACATGAACTATACTTTTAATAATATTAAGAGATATGCCCCATAAATCACATGTGTTTTTTATTTTCAGAACATTAAAAGTTTTAATAATATCTAAGCAACTAATATATTTAAATTTAAACTGACTGTCTACCTTAGGCACATATTTTTCTAAAATAGCCTTTGCGGCAGTTGATGAAGAATTTAAAACAGATGTTGTTTCAATTGGTATGTTTAAAAAATACTCATCAAATATATTAGCAATTTTATCATGAGATTTGATGGTCGTGTTATTAAAGTTAAGTGTCAGAATATCTTCACGTATTTGCTCCTTACCGGTTTCACGGTTTATTATATTCCAAGTTGTTTTGACTTTATTATTGGAATTCTTTATTTTCTCTTTAATAAAATTTTACTTTGCCGCAAAACACACCCTTTTAAATACTTTCGAATAATTCTTCACGTAATCAATGAAATTTTGATTATGGTTATATTTTCTTAAAGCGTATAATTCATAAAGTTTGTTTCTACTTTTATAAATACGTGTTGTAGCCCAGTCACATAACTGTAACTTCTGTGTAACTTTTACAGTCTTACACGGAAAAGCCTTTTCGAATTCATTTTTTATAAGGCAGAATAGATTACTATAAAGATCATCAGGACCATCATTTGGCCATACCATCTCAATTAGTTTCTCATCTATGTTATTTTTAAAATTATCTAGGCGTATCTTAGTAATTGGTCTACACTTAATAATTTTTGGCTCATTAGTGATATTAATCCTATATGTGGTCTTTAGTCAGTAATGGTCAGATGTAAGATCATTGAATACAAGTTTATTAATCAGATCATAATCAGAATATACATTATCCAAACAAGTGGCTGAATGTAAACTATTATACTGTGGAACTCTTTGCCTGTAGTTATTAGACGTGTGCGGTCTCGGGACTCGTTCGTGAAACAAGTTAAGGACTATTTCCTCAGGCTGGATCTTTCTTCATTTTAGTACTTTGTCTCTCCTTTAATCTGTTCTTTTTCTTTCTTTTTTTTTTCTCTCTCCTTTTTTCGTTAAGAATATTTATTAATTAAAAGCACTAACCCATTATATTTGTACTTGGTTGGTATCGTTTCCGTTAGCCAAAGGTTGCCTGGTAGAAATTGCTACCCTAGCAATAAGGCTGCCTTCTGCATATATGTTTATTTCTTTCTGTTTTATGTGTTTGTTTTTAGTGCAATAAAGTGTTAATCAATCAATCAATCAATCAATGTGCCGTTACTCTAGTAGGCTCAAGAAATTGATTAAAAAGATTGAAGCATTTAAATAATGATAGCAAACGAACGGATGTTGAACTGTTCACAAGAAGATCTACATTAAAAACATACAATGGACAATTTATAGTTTCTGCAACATATTCCATTGCATTTTTAGAACATTCTTTGATCTACAGATCTATACTAATATTGTAAAGAAGAATAATTTGATAATCTATATTTTTGCATTGAATAAGCTCCGAAATTATAACACTGATTTTGAAAACTCTTTGCCTATGGGAAACTACACCATACATAGATGACATAATTTGCATAAGGAAATTACAAGAAAATGGCTAGTAACAAATAAACAAAATACTCACCACACCATCTATAGCCATGTACAACAATTTCCTAGGCCTTACAATACGAAACAGCCTGTCAATACACTCGAAGATAGCAACCATCATCTCGTCCTCATCTTTAGGAGGTGGTTTGTCCTCTGGATGAGTACAAGGATGAATTATACCATTCATATCCAGGTACAGGTTGTCGAACTCTACCCCATTGGGGTTTGGAAGTGAAGAATCTATATATATAAGCTGACCATCTACGTCGGTTGGCTGAAATTGAATAATATTCCATGCATTCTGTTGCGACAATAATATTGTCTGACATTGTTTATAACGAAAATAACAATAGTTAATATGAATTAGTTATTGAAACATTCACCAACTGTGTTGTCATAATATAATAAGATTTAATTTTCAAAACAGCAACTACTAAAAATAAACAAGTAGGTTTATAGGTTAAGATAAAGTTTTACCTTCTGTTCAATACATTCTACAATTACACTAGGATATTTACGGCTGAGCCATCTAAAAAATGCTGGTACTCCCATCTTACTGCACTTCTATTAATCTTGTTCGTTTGTTGAGTCAAGTTTATTGAATTTTAAGTCACGTATTCAACACAAACAAATCGACGCAGGTGCCATCTTTGCAAGAAAGAGACAATATTATCTATGAAAGAGAGTAGTACTAAACCATACAGCCAAATGGGTTATTTTTGAGAAAGAGAGATTTTTAACATTTAACAATTGATATATTAAAAAGTAATTGTTAAAAAAAAGTTGTTTCTTGGCTATAATTAAGTATGATATCATATTCATAAAAGAAAATTTTGCAAAAGTTACATCATTAATTTCTTATTTGTTAGCATGGCTAGTAATTTGTATGCCCAGTTTGTAAACACCGATTAATCTTATCATTATTGACTTAGTATTAATGAGAAAGTATTAAAAAAAAAGAAAGCGCAAAAAAGAACACTAGATGGCGACTCTGGCAAAAGTTGGTTTTTGTAGGAAACGAATGGACCAAAGATAGTCATTTCAGTTCCTTTTAACCAACATAAAACTGAAATTTGCAAAGTTCAAAACTTAGATACCTATCAATACAAATACGAAAAAGTACAAATAGAATATGAGTTGTTAATTGAGTTTTGAAAATGAATTTATTTTTGTACATGAAAGAAAACCGGAAGAGTTGTCACGGAGAAATCAAGAATCGTAGCGCCATCTAGCTTGATTTCGGGAACTAATGTTTTACTTAAATAGGTACTTCTTCTTCTTCTTTTTTTATTAATGGCTTATCTGCGCATTATGCACAATTCTGCCAATGTCAAGTGAATAACTTAATTTCCACATGTAAAATGAAAATGAAATGAATGAAAGATGGCGATGATCTCCTTTAAATATTTCGTCATTACATGAAAAATAACTGTCGACTAAATGTTTTCTCTATGCTGGAGGTAGGGATATTTCTTATCAACTGATTGAAGAAAAACGAAGTTTGATAAGGAAGAACCATTTCTTTTTTGATAAATAGTAGAACCAGCTTTTGTAAAAATGTATGTAAAATTTGAATCTCAAGATATATTTTTTTTTATGGGATAGGCGGCAGATGAGCAGACGGATCACCTGATGGTAAGTGATTACCGTCGCCCATGGACACCTGCAACACCAGAGGGGCTACAAGCGCGCTGCCGGCCTTGGAGGGAAGGGTTGAGGGGTAGAGGGAAGGGAGTAGGGAGGGGTTGGGCCTCCGGTAGCCTCACTCACACGACGAAACACAACGCATGCGTTGCTTCACGTCGGTTTTCTGTGAGGCCGTGGTATCACTCCGGTCGAGCCGGCCCATTCATGCTGAAGCGTGGCTCTCCCACGTTATTTGTATGTATTACGTACTTAAAAATTCGGTTTAGGGTATTAAGTGTCGGACCCTATTTATGTTATCAGAAGGTTAAATAAGAAAACACGTTCACTCTGTAACTCCGTATATTAGCGACTAGTTTAAAAGTCTTTGTTCTACAGACGCTAACAAATTGTTTATAAACATCTTACAAACTAAACTGTACATGTACATGTAGGCATATGTGTCCCTACAGTACTCCCCCTCTTACAATAAAAAATAAAAGTACACATCACATATTGTAAGAAATGTAAAAGAACAGTACAATAAAGAACAATAAAAATAATATAAACAATTTTTAAATAAATGACAAGTAATTAAAGTAAATATAAAATAATATGTCATATAAAACATTTAATTTTTATCGAATACAAATTCTTACTTATTAGTAAACAAATTAAATTAATTTACATGTTTCCTATCAAAAGCTTATTACTAAACAAAATTACTGTTTAATAGTATCTAAATCCTAACCAATCTAAAATTATATTTACTATACTCTACAAATACATGTTGAATATGGAATTGAACCTATAATTTCCACAACCACTAAACCTAATATTCACTATGCTACTTATTCACTACTATTCACGTATCGTATCGATTTGTTTACATTAACAAATGAGTAATATTTACATTAACAAATTGTGGGAACGCGGCGATCTTGTAAGCTGAGTACAAAAATTGGTTGACAAAAGTTCTTTGTTTAAATCAGTACCCACTGTTATTATTTCTAGAGCTATATCGATGAAATTGAAATCTTGAGAACAGAACTACCTATTATTTAATTTACAAAGACTTCCGCTTGCTTCGTATTTCGTATACTGTTCTCTATGCTTCGTCCGTTCGACTAGCTACGCTATAGGTACGTATGTATTACGTCATGCTGTAAAACGTACGGGTGTATTGATAACGCGGCCACTACGCGTAGTTCTCGGCTGTAGAGCTTTACTGGAAGTGACCTCGTTATCTAAACTAGAATCGTTACTCTTATTAAAATTCGAACTATAACTAAAATCTTTATCACTATTTATAAAAAATGCTGGTTTTAATCTTTCTATTGAAATAGTTTTCGTCTTATCTCCTATTTTAATATCGAAAGTTTTGCCTTTCCGACTTACAACGTCGTAAGGGCCATCATAAGGAGGTTGCAAAGATTTACGAAATACGTCATTTCTTATGAATACACTCTTACAACTATTTAATTCGCTAGGCAGAAATAACGAACGTGAATTACCATGACTTGACGGTTTAGGTCTCAAACTTTTAATGGAATCGCGAAGATTTTGTAAATATTCCGAATCCGAGCAATTTAATTTGGAATCCTCATAAAAATCACCTGGCAAACGAATTGTTTTACCATAAGTTAACTCTGCTGCACTAACGCCACTGTCACTGCGGGTTGCGGCTCGTAAGCCTAACAACACGACTGGAAGCTCGGTCACCCAGTTACTATTGCAGTTTAAACGTGCCGTAAGTGACACTTTTAGCGCTCGATGCCATCGCTCAACCATGCCGTTACTCTGCGGATGATAAGGTGTTGTTCGCATTTTAAAAATACCTAGGTACTTCATTAGCTGACTGAAAAGATCACTCTCAAATTGTCTACCCTGGTCGCTAGTAAGCTTCGAAGGGCTTCCAAATCGAGATATCCAGCCTTCAAATACTACCTTGGCTACTGTTTCAGCTGTAATATTGTGAACTGGAAAAGCTTCCGGCCATCCGGTACAACGATCTATCATTGTTACGCAGTATCTATGTCCATCTGCCGATGTAGGCAACGGGCCTACAATATCTATATGAACATGTTGGAAACGGTCTGCACGCTCAAACTCTCCTAATCCTGCTATCGTATGCCTATTAATTTTTGATCTCTGGCAACTAAAACAGGTTCTAGTCCAACTCGCTATATCCTTAAGCATATTAGGCCAAAAGAAACGTTGTTTAATTAAAGTTCTGGTAGTCTTAACACCGGGGTGACTTAAATCGTGAACCGAATGAAAAGCAATTTTCCTGAATTTATCTGGTAAATATGGTCTAATTCTGTTAGATGAAATTTCGCAATAAATATATTTTTCGCAGTCTGGCAATAATATTTGTTTAAATTGTATTTTACTATCTGTTGCTTGCAACGCTTGCTGTAGGTATTCGTCACTAAGTTGTTGCTCAGCTATTTCTCTAAAATCGAGTAATGTAGGACAACTGATCGTTTCTATCCGCGAAAGTGTATCTGCGACTACATTTTGCTCACCGCTGATATGACGAATATCGGTGGTAAACTCACTAATGTAAGATAATTGACGAATTCTTCTAGGGCTTTCTTTGTCGTTATTTAATTTTGAAAATGCAAAAACAAGAGGCTTATGGTCAGTATAAATAGTCAGTACACGGCCTTCCACTAAATTTTTAAAATATTTGATAGCCATAAATACTGCTAACAATTCCCTATCATAAGTAGAATATTTCGTTTCAGCTTGTGAAAGTTTTTTTGAAAAATACCCTAATGGTTGCCAATTGTTGTTATTTTTCTGTTGTAATACAGCACCTACACTAGTATCCGAGGCATCGGTCATCAGCGCTAAATTAGCATCTGGTAAAGGATAAGACAGTGTAGCGGCGCTTTGCAAGCTTTCCTTACACTTCTTAAATGCTTCGACAGCCTTATCAGTCCACACAATTAAAGTTTTATCGCGTTTCTTTGTATTGTGCAAATATTTATTCAATTCGAATTGATATTGAACAGCGTTTGGAATGTGTGCACGATAAAAATTTAACATACCGAGAAAACGGCGTAGTTGATCGACTGTCTCGGGTTTCGGGAAATTTACAATAGCCTGTACTTTATCTTGAAGTGGTCGCGCACCCTTCGTAGACACTTCAAATCCTAAAAACTCAAGTGTTGACTGACCAAAAACACATTTAGATAAATTAATAGTTATTCCATATTTATCAAATCTTTCGAAAACTGCCTTTAAATGCTCTTTGTGTTGACTTTCATTTTCGCTCGCGATAATAAGATCATCGATATAACTGAATAAAAAGTCTAACCCTTGTAGTACTACGGTATCCATGAAACGCTGGAATGTTTGAGCTGCGTTACGTAATCCGAAGATCATGCGCGGAAATTCAAACAGTCCAAAGGGCGTTATAATGGCAGTTTTTTCAATATCCTCCGGGGCAACTGGTACGAAATGATAAGAACGAATTAAATCTAACCGCGTAAAAATAGTTTTATTTCCCGCTAATAAATATTTAAACTCATGCAGTCTCGGAATCGGATAGCGATCCGGTTTTGTTATGGCATTTAATTTTCTGTAATCACCGCAAGGCCGAATATCACCATTTTTCTTTGGTACCACATGTAATGGACTGGCCCATTCGCTTTTAGATGGCCTACAAATGCCTAATTCCAACATGTGGCTAAACTCCTCCTTAACTTTCCTATAACGGTCAGGCGGGAGAGGTCTGGCTTTAGCATATACCGGTGGGCCCATAGTTTCTATATAATGACACACAGAGTGTTTAGGTGTCTCTTTGTAGGATACTATTTTCGTTATGTCCGGATAACAAAGCAATAAATCATGCCAATCACTATTACCTAAAACAGTTTTAATAGATAATTCACATTCGTTATGACTTACAACAGAGGCGAGAACATTTAAATGTGTAATTTGATCTACCAACTTGCGCGCGCTCATGTCGACTAACAGCTGATAATGGCTTAAAAAATCCGCTCCTATGATCGGCTGTTTAACATTCGCTACGATAAAATTCCATTTAAATGCTCTCCTTAAATTTAAATCTAAAATTAAAGTACGCATACCATAAGTTTTTATCTCGGTTCCGTTAGCTGCATATAGTTTGTATTTATCACTCGCACTGTAATCGGAAACGCACTTTTTCGATGCCGGAATAACCGAAACGTTCGCACCTGTGTCAATTAAGAATTTCAGTCCACTTTTTTTGTCTTTAACACATAGGCGGTTATTCGATAACCCGATACCAACCTCCGCCTCCGGTCGTATCGCACTTAGTTTTCCGCTGGCTCTTGTGGCTTGAGCTTCCGCCAATTACAGGGCTCAATGCACTTTACGACCTTATCTCCGTACCGATAATGGTAGAAACAAAACCAATTAGGATTTCGTCGGTTTCTGGAATTCTCTCTCTCTCGACCTTGTGACGGTGCCCGACTGAATCTGTTTCCAGCACTGTAGTTCCTACCCCTGAACGGTCTACCACGATCCGCTTGCCGAGAGCGCCTTAACTCCGCCACTTCTATGCTGAGACGTGCTACCAACGTCGCCAGGTCGGATTGCTCCGAACATGTAATTTTTGACTCCCGCTCTGAGGAGTTGCTGTTGGTTGATACTTCAGCTATATTGGAATGCCCAGTGGCCTCCATGACCTTATCAGCCACTACAGCCAGATTTGTTATATCTGTCTCCTGTGTAACGGCTAACACAGCTTGCACTGGTGGTGGCAAGTGGCTATTCCACATGATTTGTAATGTCACGTCTGGTATTTTCCCACGGGCTAGATCTTTCATGCGCCGTAAGAGCTGCGAAGGCTTTTGACTGCCAAGCTCCATTTCACCAAGAAGCTTCTGGAATTGCCTCGTCTCCGACTCCTCAAATACATGCAGTAGTCTATCTTTGAGGGTCTGGTACTTGTGCTCACTTGGTGATGATAATAATAAATCGCTCACCTGTGTAATCGCAGCCTTGCTTAATTTAGTAACCACTAAATTCTGTTTAGCGGCGTCCGATAATTTCTGTGACTGGATGACAGCCTCAAATTGGACAAACCAGAGTCGCGGTTGGTCTGACCAAAAATCAGGAACTCTCGATGAAATGGTGATGGAGTCCAAAGATGATGAAGTCTCTGGCTTAACTTCGGGGTTGTGTTCCGAAACACGCGCTTGAGAACTTTCATTTTGTGGATTCATTGTTTATACTGCACTTTTTAATAAAAAAATAAAAAAAGTGATATAAATGTTAATTAAATAAAATGTTCAAAACAACTAAAAACGTAATGTTCATAACACCGGTCACCACTTTAGGGTATTAAGTGTCGGACCCTATTTATGTTATCAGAAGGTTAAATAAGAAAACACGTTCACTCTGTAACTCCGTATATTAGCGACTAGTTTAAAAGTCTTTGTTCTACAGACGCTAACAAATTGTTTATAAACATCTTACAAACTAAACTGTACATGTACATGTAGGCATATGTGTCCCTACATTCGGTTTTCTTTTTATCAAAATTTTGTTGTTTTTGGTAATATTGACATCTAGTGCAAAATAGTTGAACTTGATATACGAGATCATCTAACTAGTACATATAGAACACGTCAGATGACCTTAAGGATATAAAATCATAATGAAAACGATGTTTGGTTAAAAAAATATCCATGTGCCGATGTTATCAAAGTTAAAATGTCGTAGACAAATCATCGAAGTTTTCTAGCTAAACATCGATGAATATCGATCATCCCTAGCCGTAGGTAGACAGTTGATTGACATTGACAGATATATCAGCTGGACGAATTTAGTTTGGTTGTTTTTTATCATCAAAATGAAAACATTTTGTTATATTAATTACTACAAAAAACTTCTTAAAAGAACTGCAATAAGAAGATACTGTTCTCAAGCTAGTAAAGATGCCAACAATAATGTAGAAAATATCAGAAATATTGGAATCTTAGCACACATAGATGCAGGTTAGTTTTAAGTTTCTATAGTAATAATTAAAATAGTTTTAAATATGAAGCGTATTCCTAGAGAAAATGATGAATCTTTTAATGTGGTGGTAACAGGAATTACCAAATTGGATTTTGTTAATATTGTTTTAATAAGTTTTCAGTTGAGTTATAAATTGAAAGCTTTAGATATGGAGGCAAGTTACATACCGGTTTTATGAACAATATAGATAATTTAAGAAAACAATCCTTATATTAAGGAAAAACAACAACAACTGAGAGGATGCTGTTCTATTCTGGCACAATTCACTCTATGGGGGAGGTGCACCATGGTAACACTGTCACTGACTACATGGAGCAAGAGAGACAACGAGGGATTACTATAACTTGTAAGCTTTTATATATTCAATTGTTTGTTAAGTAAAGTAATTTTATTTTGTTATTCCTTTATATCAGAAAAATAGAATTTTGATATTGATTTCTTTCTTTCTTATATATTCATATGCACTATCCATAAATGAAGTAACTTTTAAATAGTTTCATCTCTTTTGTATTTTTCTTTTATTGATATTACAGACCCTTTAAGAATTTTAATATTCAGATTGATATTTTAAAGTCTTTGTTGATTACTGTGATCACATGTCCAATTATCTAATTATATGCAAATGATGCTACTATATAATTTCACCTAACAAATATCTGCCAACAGCGGCTGCTGTATCATTCCCGTGGAGGGGACACCAGATCAATTTGATAGATACTCCAGGTCACATTGACTTTACAATGGAAGTGGAACAGAGTTTAGCTGTATTAGACGGTGCTATTGTGGTGCTGGATGCATCAGCTGGTAAGGATTGACCTGTGCAACTATAGCATTTGTAATATAACCAGGTTAATCATCACCAGCCTATTTATGTCCCCACTGCAGAGACTCAGGCCTTCCTTATGGATGGTAAAGTAGAATATAGTAAAAAACAATTATAAGGAATTGATTCAAACATAACAAAACTAATTTGCTAGCTAGTTTGTCTATGTAAGAAAAAGTAGTTTAGTAGTGACTCAACTTAGTAGATTCTCACTAAGTTGAGTCAAGTTTATTGAAATTTTAAGTCACATTTCAATATAAACAAATTGATGCATGTACCATCTTTGCAACAAAGAGAATTGTATCTATGAAAGAGATTAGTTGTAGTAGTAGTTTCATCCATGGGACTGATGAAGAAACTAAGCCATTCAGCCAAATCTTGGATTATTACATTATATTATAAAAAGTGGGAATCTACATATCCCTCTCCCTGCCCAGTGATTAATAGGTGAATTCTCAAAGAAGTATTATTAAATTTTTTTTTTTCCTTTACTAATAGGCAGTATAGGTAAGTTAATGATCTTATGTAAGAACTATTACATTTCAATATTAACAACAATGTTTTTAATGGAAAATAAAAAAAACCACTTTGCCCCTGACACTCCGAAATGGGATACAAACCCATGACCATTCACAATCTGGGCAACTGCTCTAACCACTGAGCTACCCAGGATACACAGGATTGACGAATTTTACAAGCACTTGTTACTTTTTTGCTACTACTGAGCATATTTTCATCAAACAGCCAAAAGGAATATTTCTACAAATATTTTAAACTTTCAATTAAAATGAAAATTTGTTCTAATTATTATATTAGATCAATTTGGCATTCACAATGCTATAGTGGAAAATAATCCTAATGAAAAATGTGTAAAAAATCCACTTTGTCCCATCTCAGAGTGCCAGTTGCTAAGTGGATTTTTAAGCAATTTCCATTAAAAATATTTTCCAGTACAGCATTGTGAAAGCGAAATTGTTGAAATTTATTTATTTTTTATAAATTTTTCCCTTTACATTCTTATGGGCACTATTGAATCATTAGGTTCTGACTTTGCGAAAGACCTATCAGACTCTGTCTCTCCCCCTTATAAGATATGGCCTAACATCCTATTCCCTACAATAGTTCCTTTTAAAATAATTTTAATTAGTGTAAATATTGTTTTGTAATTTTGAACTTAACTGTATCAGATTGAAACTTAAAATAAATTGGAGTAATAGGGTAGTTTCGGTAGTGAAAAATAAGTTACGAAATTGCACAAAAACTAAAATTTACATCATAATAAACCTAAGCGATTTTGATTTTGAGTCTTGAAATTGCATGACTATTGATTAACTTATTATCTTAAAATTAAAAGTCGTGATTTTTTGTCTGTGTGTCACGTGACTTGAAACACGACCCGCCATTGTGTGACGTCACCGTGGCGACAACGGTCAGACTAGCCCTAAAGATATGACTATTAATAATAACTCAAATTCCTAGATGGCTGTACTTAGTTTGTTAACTAAAAGTTATATCTTTATTTCGTAATCGATCGTTAGACAGCATTGCTCATGTTCTATTGACATCTTTTAAACTTTTACTCCATGCATCTGTTTTGTCTACATAACAAAATGACGTCATGAATATGACGGACAGCGTTTTCGAGGATATAAAAAAGTGATTTAATTTTAAAGCAAGAAAATGTTGCAAATTTCTTTTTTAAATAAAAATAAACAGTTATAAGTAATATTTCAAACAGAGTAGAACCACCTATTTAGTCTCTTGTGGTGAACTGATGTACTGTCTTTACAATATAGATATAGAGGAACTGATGTACTATTTTGGGAGTGGCAAAGCCTGACTACATTTTTCCAACATGCATATTCACAATAATTGTAACTATTACAAAAAAAAATAATGTAAAGGTGCATTTACTCCAAATTATTGTAACAAGTTTCTTAGCAGCCTTTAAGAGTAAACAATAATGTTGAATAGTATGCTCCTGAATAGGCGTGGAGGCTCAAACATTGACTGTATGGCGGCAAGCTAGTGGATACCGCATACCTCGGCTGTTATACCTCAACAAGATGGACAGAGCTGACGCTGACGCGGACGCGTGTGTACACTCCATACGCGATAAACTACAGGCCGCACCACTATTATTGCACTTGCCTGTACATCATGAAGGAAAATTTATAGGTAATTGGTCACAATGTATAAAAATAATAATTTACAAATAGCAATATTTAAAGATTTTGAAAGTGTTGAGAAAATCTACTTTGTAAAATCCTGTCTAGATGCCTTTGCCTACTTGGTCACAGCAGTGTTTTCCGTTGTGAAAACAGGTCTTATAATCTCTATGAATTACAATACGGTACCTGATTCATATAAATTTACATACAGTTTCAAAATCTAAGTTATAAAGCAGAGTTATGAAATTTTAAATGATTCATGAGTGATCAAATGTTACAACCTTTCGTTATAAAGTCACATAGCCTCATTTTCTTTCGGTAGGTCTAATCGACTTAATAGCAATGGAAGAAATAATTTGGACGCACGGCCGGGGCAAGAATTTGTCGCGGCGAAAATTGACCGAGCAAGCAGACGGCCAGAAATGGGAGGAGGCACTGAAAGGGCATAGAGAACTCGTAGACTCTATTTCGTCTATGGATGATCAATTAGCAGAGATAATTATAAATGAGGAATCTCTAGACAACATAGCCACTAAGGATATCCAGGACGCTGTCAACAGATGCACAATAGCAATGAAAGGTTTTCCAGTTTTGTGCGGGAGCTCTTACAAAAATCTAGGAGTTCAAACCTTGATGGATGCCGTGGTTGCCTACCTACCCTCTCCACTGGAATGCAATAAGCTGTACGACTGTTTTGGTCAGGACCTTGCTGCTAGGGCGTTTAAGGTGCAACACGATGATCAGAGAGGTGTGCTCACTTTTTTGAGGCTCTATGGAGGGGAGATTAATAAAGGACAAAAGATATACAACTTGGCGAGAGACAAGAGCGAACAGGTAAGAAAATATGATATGCAATTCCTGGGTCCAATTAAAACACTCCACTTAAGGTTTAGGCTAACCGAGGAGACGCGTCTTATTAGAATAAAAGGCGGCATTAAATATTTTTATACATGAAATTATGTCAATGAGATTCTATTTTGTGTTCTTTGTCAAATACATATATTTTACACAGACGGGTTCATTGTACGTGGCGCTGGCTGATGAATACAAACCAGTGGAGACGGTGACAGCCGGGAATATTGCTGTGGTCAGCTCACTGAAGGTATATTACTCGTATTTACACATAAAAAATATATTTCCTCTATTTATATTGTACTGGATAAGTAGTGTCATCACATCATCTATTTATTTAACTTAAAACTGGTATTACATCTCATATAACCTAAATTTTCAATTGGCATTCAAGTAGATGAAGCTCTTTTAACAAACCATCGTTTAGATCAGGGATTCCCAAACTTATTTTGTCTACTGCCCACTTTGAAAATTCTATTGTTTTTTTCACCTACTTAAAAACCATTATAACTTTAAATTCAATTAATTCATTATCGTAAGTCCGCTAATATGGAGACTAAATATTAATTTTACTATAACTCGCTAGAGTTAACTTGATGCCTGAGCGCAATAGGTAATACACGACAGCGCTCAGGTCTCAAGTTAACTCTTATGGGGTACACTTGCCAATGAAAATGATTATTGAAACGCAACTTTGTAGTAGTATCCTAACATAGTACGAGTATTTTTTATTCAAAATAAAACAAACATAAATGATTCTTACATAAAAACTAATGTGAAGGATTAATCTGATGCTGTTTAATAAGTCTGTTTATATATGGTTCCAATTTACTCACGAACAGTCGCAAGTCGCCACGTTCGGTAACATACAAACGATTTCTCTTTTTAGTAAACAGTGTTGCCACAGCACTAAATCCACGTTCACATAAATATGATGAATGTCCAACCTACATGGGAACGCTATCAAGAGTCGTTGAACGATTTACCACAATCCAGGGTACAATTGCGGGATCGGTTTTTGTAGCCAAAATTCTTGGTAACCATTTTTGAACTTGATATATTTTTCCTCGTTTGTTGTCAATTCTATAAGTTCTTCTTCCAGCTCAGGTGACATTCCTGTGTTGATATTTGAAAACGGATCCTAAACCCAGTCTGGTATTTCCAAGTTCAAAATGTCCTGATATCGTTCGGTGAAGTCAAGATGGAGGTTTGTTAGCCAGATGTTAGCAGTAGGCAAATAAATCGTCGTTACTGCAGGATTTTGATAAATTCGGAAAATAGTAAAACTTTTGTAGAAGCAGTTTGGCTGCAAAAGCAGCAACGACGTTTTTTGTTTTAATTAAATTTAGTTCGTCGCCTTGCAGTTGGACATACATGTCGTTGAACGATTTATACAGGGTCTGTCATTTAAGCTATATCATACTTTGATGTAATAAGCTTGTTGTGCCATTCCGTATCTTTAGTTTCCAAGAACTCTATCACAGAGTTAAACAGGTTGTAAAATCGCGTCAGACAATTGCCTCTTCATAGCCAACGAACTTCAGTATGAAATAACAAACGGTTAAAATCCTCGTCATTAGTAACACAAAGCTGATGAAATAATCTATCATTCAAGGAGCTGTTGCGGATTTTATTGACTGCTTTGATGATTTATTGCAGTGATTGAAATAGTCGTTCACTTAAGTTTCTAGCGACCAAATGTTGTCTATGAATAACGCAATGTATAGCAAGGACATCTGGAATTAGGTTTTTTAAGTGCGCTAGGAAGTCTTTATAGCCGATGTCAAAGCCAGAGCGCTATCCGTAGTAATAGATATAATATTTTTCAAGAGCATCTCTTTCTAATTACAAAGTTTTCCAATGTATTGAATATGCTTTCGCCTTTTGTATCGGTGTTTAAATTTCTAGCAAACAATAGTTCTTCACATATTTTCTCTTTTATAGTAAACCTCACGTAAGACAGCAACAATGGTTCATTAGTTGGTAAAGTGGACTCATCTAGTTGAATTGAGAATAGACTTGTTCTCAGGTAATCGCACAAGGATCCTTCAATGTTTTCAGTTATTTCATCGATTCATCTTTGTACAGGATTATTAGTCAAAGGAATTTTTCTGATAATTTCTGCGGCCGGTTTATAAAGCACAACAGTTATTACTTCCTTTATTGCTGGCAAAATTAACTCTTCTCCGATATTATGTGGTTTCCCTTTTGAGCAATTAACAAAGATATATTGTACGAAGCTCGAATTCTATCGTCATCTTGCTTAGCAGCCGCCGAAAATAGTTTCGCTACACTTGGCTGAGTATAATACTTTTTCTCTAGGTCTTGAAAATATGCTACATTCTTGTCTTTTTATCTGGATGCATTTTATTCAAACGATCTTGCAGTCTTGAAGGCTTTGTGGCGACTGATACGTAGCGACATCTAACACATCGCACTAACATCGCCACAACAATCTATGTCGCTACGTATCAGTAGCCACAGCTTCATTGCTTCATTCGAAAATGTTTTTAAACATAAAAGGCACAAAGGCGACGATGGGTTTGTTGGATTTTCAATAAATCCGAATTTAGTATATTCCGTACAGTATTGCCGTCTCTTCTTTTTTACTTCCGACATTGTTTTGTTTTGTGAAATACGTAAGTGTTGAACTTGAGTACGCAATACTTATTTATATCTATCACGTGCGAAACCGCAAGTGAAAGTAAAAAATATTACTTTGTTTATATAGGTTTGCATAAGCAACACGCACCAATAGGAATAAAACAAATTTGCATAAACTTGTTTATCTCTATCGACGCTTAATCGTACTCAATAAGTAAAAACAAGTATTATATGAACCGACCATACCACCGATTGACATGATTTTTATTTTATATATTCAATAAGACAGCATAGATATATGACTTTTATCGAACCGAGTTTTAGCAATCTCTTAAGTAATATTAGTTGATGTTCACAAGTCGTAGTCGAGAGTCGAGAGCTCATACAGTCAGTGTCTAAGAGGCATCCTAGCTAAATGAAATTACAAATCACCCACCCCTCAAGCCATCTCGATCTCCTAAGGGGGGCCCTTTAGGCCTGCAGCGCCCACAAGGGGACGTTATCGCCCACTTTGGGAAAGGCTGGTTTAGATGGTAAACTTGACTCGATTTAACTCGCTCGGGATTTGCGTCAGGCAACTATGACCGGCGACCTGATAACGTCGTCGCAAGCGTGCGCCAACCGAGCCAAGGAGCGCCTGACGTCACAGCTGCGGGCCCCCGAATGGGCCGCGCGCCTGCTGGGGCCCGCCGCGCGCCGCCGCCTGCACGCGCGCCTGGAGGAGGCCACGCCCGAGGCCGCCGCCGACATACTGCTCGGGATCGGTGAGTCTTGTATCGGGACCAGGTGCTTTCCTTTTCTCCCCTGAGATTCTGTAAAAGTCCAAACCCGAATTCGATTTCACTCAGGTGTTTGAATTCACTTCAAAAAGCGGCATCCGCTCAATCTTGAATCGGTAAAGGTGAGTTTGGAAATGACAAGCGATAGAATATCTGAGACATGTATAAGCAATCAATTTTGTTTTGTATTTTTATACAAAAAAATGGAATCAATAGAATTTCTTGAGTAAATTATGTGAATTCGGGCACACGAGGGAATTCTAATTTGGGTTCGGATTTTTACAGACTCGCTCTGCAGGTCGAGTGCGGCGTCGGAGAGCCCCGGTTGCATTTCCCCTGCGTTAAAAAAGAGATATTTTCATATTAGGTTAGGCTGGAGTCAGTTTTGACAAAACATAACTTTGATCATATTACATCGTTTCATCATATTTCATAGATGATAATGATTTGGTAATCTGAAGGTCTGCGTTTTGTCGGTTGTATGTCCGCCCTTCATTATTATTTGTTATACGCTAACGCGCTATCTGTTAGATTTGCACCGACCCTTGAACCTTTATTCATATACATTTGTCATTTGACGCCATCCTCGAATGTAACTTCAAATTGAACTTGTATATTCTGGTTTCGAAAAGTAATGATTCGTCGTCCATTTGTTATGAAAGATGATTAAGGTGGAAGGGGGAATCGACCATAACCTATTTTTCTTACAAAAAGGAAGGGAGTCTTGACAGTTCTTACGTAAGATAAGATCACAAAAACCAGCAAATTTGAGATTGTTAAGAATCTGAAGAAAAAAAAAATAACATTTAAAACAATAATAATAAATAATGATGATTTTACGTAATAAATGGACAAAGTTTTATGCGTCTTCAGATAGACTGTATTTTTGATTTACTGCGTTTGTACTATAATCAACTTTATCACCAGGTAATACGATCCCAGAACCCGTCTTCGTATGTACGATCGAGCCGCCGAGCGCGGCGTACCAAAGCGCTCTCGACACAGCTCTGGCCGAACTGGCGAGAGAAGACCCCAGTCTACGCGTGAGCACCGACGAGGAGACGGGCCAGGTTATATTAGCCGGTGAGAGATATTTCATTCTTACACGTTAATTAAAACTAAAACACTCGTTGATTATTACAAAAGGAATAAATATCAAATAAACGGTGATTAAAAAAAGTTTGAAGTAGCTCGGTGGCGTAGTGGATAAGCGCCGTTGCCCACGATCGTTGTCGTTAAGCAACTTTCGCTAGGGTCGGTCACGGGATGGGTGACCAAAAAATTATTATCTCGAGCTACTGCGTGCTTCGGAAGGCACGTTAAGCCGTTGGTCCCGGCAGCATTTGCAGTCGTTAATATCCTCCAATCCGCATTGGGCCAGCGTGGAGGGTCATGGCCCATCCTCCTTAACCATCCATAAGGAAGGCCTGAGCCCCTGCAGTGGGGACGTAAAAAGGGCTGGTGATGATGATGATGAATAAAAATTTTATGACGATTTATTACGTGTTTATTATGCTCAATATGATTTTTCGACGCCAAATTATTATTATTATCGCCATTGTAAAAATAATTAATTGTTCGAGATAAAAGTGTACAAGTGTAAGTTCAGAGGAACCCAAATTATTTTTTAATACCACAATAACATACGACGCGTTGAAGATTATGTATACTTTACTTTCAACATCACCTTTCCTCGGCTGTTTAATAAGCTTTATCTTGATAGTCCTACAGCTTACCGTCAACCGCACCTCATATCGCCGACCCTCTCCGTACCAGAGCGGTTCGCACTCTAGTTCTGGATACTCTATAATACAAAGGCTTGAGCTACTACCTATTAATATGTTAGAAATACCTGCACGGCAGGCATGGGCGAACTCCACCTGGAGATCATAAAGGAGCGCATCATAAGGGAGTACAAGATAGAGGTGGAGTTGGGCGGGCTGAGGATCGCGTACAGGGAGGCGCTGGTGGGGGGGGCGCGGCGCGCGGCCGCCGTCGACCGCAGCGTCGGCGGCGCGCGGCAGCGCCTCGCCGTCACGCTCTCCGCCTGCAGCCGCGGCGGCCCGCACCACCACGTGCTCAGGTCGGTCTACTCTCTGTCCCACAATCATTATAATCTCTCGTCTGTTCTCTCCCGTTTTTCATTTCAATAATGTTGCAGTTTCATAGAGTATAGCTATATATATAACTCCTATGATAATAGTTTTAGATTTCGACAGAACTATCGTTCGTGTGCCGTGGCCTTGAAGGAAAGTTTGAAATATGTTCGAGTTAGTGGCACCTCGTGTTCTCGTGCCTCACGCGGGGAAAATAAATGTTTTACTCTCATTGAGCAAATATACCCCTGCCTATTTGCGTGGGGAATTATAGACACGGTAGACTTTTACCTCCGCTTCGATTATACATGCCAAATCTTTATAGGTATATAGAAATGGATCCCTATTTTCCTTGGTCACGCCATCAGACGTGAACGGCAGACCCATTTCGCTAATTCTTTTATTGTTGTGCTTGTTACTTTCAGTGCAAAGTTCTTATAAAAGAAAAAAATAAGAAAATTATGTAATAAATTTAGGAATATTTAACCACCATATAAAACTATTTGGATAATACAAACTTTTTTTATGTAAACTCATGACGTTTGACATAGAATAGAATAGGAAACACTTTTTTTAAATATTATATTTATTCATTATACCATTTCGAAATCAATATTCATAATTAAGACAGGACAACGTGTGTCGGGTCAGCTAGTATAATACGAGTATAATTGTTATATGTTATTGTATGATTTTTAACTTTTATTCGTTTTGTTAATATTTTCTATCGATAATATTATATGCGTTAATATTAATGAATATTTGATTATTTAGAGACTGTCGCTCTTATTATATTGAACGTAAGGTAGATAGATTCCTATAGAGTGGTGATTTTTGTCATCTGACTTTTACATTTTCTGTCACCATGCTTGGTTTTGATTAGCATAACTGTAGATCAAAGTAGTTTTCTTTTTAATCTTAAAAATTCAGTTTCTTTTTATCGATTTAGAACAAAGATATTAAGACTAAATAAGCAGTTATAGGAAATCATAGGAATAATGTATATTAATAAAAAAATAACACACCAATGGGGTGCGAACATTTGAACACGGCATAGAGCTGAAAGCGGTAAACCAGTGGCCGTGACAAAACTCACCAGTATGCACTAGCCTTACATTTGTTTTGTCAGGTTGGACAAATCAGCGGAGAGCGCTGCGAATCTAGCGCACTTACATCCGCGTCACTTGGCGGCGATAACACGCGGCGTCAACACTGCGATACAACACGGACCCAAGCTTGGGTGTCCGGTAACTATGCTACATATCATACATAATAAAATCCATATTTTTTTAATGTTGAGTTTAATAAAGTTAGTTTGAGTTAACAGTCTGCCATAAAATCAACTAAGATAAAAGATTCCGTGAGATTTAATTATCGCTGAACTTGAGTTTTCAAATGGAGTTTAGATATCCAATAGGGTAGTTTCGGTAGTGAAAAATACAAATTCACAAATGACTAACATTTACATTGAAATAAATATAACATAAAATCGCGTGATTATCTTAATATGTTCAATTAAATTTGTCAAAGAGTTGTCCGCCCCATATTTATGTGGGAAAACAATGTTTGCCGTGTCATCTAATATATTATATATTTTTGTGTGTACATACAGCTGGTGGATGTACAAGTGACGCTGCACTGGTTCGAGGTCGGTCGGGGCACGTCAGAGTCCGTCATCACCGCCACTGTCGCGCAATGTTTACGGAAGGTACGTGCGACACATCATTGGAAAAATTTCTTATATTTCGAACCTTTTAGCAGTCGACGTAGAGTCCAAAATTAATATTGCTAGGTAGCAGAGTCCCATTTTATGTTTTGAGAATTTATACCTCGCGGATGAGCGGGCCAAGCTCATAGACAAAAACAAAACTCGAATAAGCTCGATGCCAATACTCAGCATATAGACACAGTTCCAATGACAGTTCTGTCGCTATTCGTACTAAACGTTTTTAGTGCCACATGGTAAATTGTAACCCTAGGAGTGTACTACTGTCACTGATAGGGATAATGAAACAAATATTTAAAGTGAACCCGTAACAAAGGCATAGACGATTAGTTTATTGAAATGTGACGTCACACGATATTCCGTCACAGCGTTTAATTTCTTGTAATGCACAGGTTAAAAATGGCAAATTCATGTTGCAAAAAGAAAATATACTCACAATTCATCTTAAAACAAAAAACTACATAGTTATTCTTTGCATACAAGTTACCGTTTCCAACATATTTCATAATTTATTATTAAAACTGTCAAGGAGCCAATATTGGTAATGGGATTGTGACATGTGGATATCTGCAGGTGTTCGAAGAAGCGGACTCGGTGCTGCTGGAGCCGGTGATGTTGCTGGAGGTGGTGTGTCCGGAGTCCCACTCCGCGCGGGTACTGGCGGACCTCACGCGGCGGCGCGCCACGCTGCGGCACGTCACGCTGCGGCAACATAACAAGGTCCGGGTGAGGTTACCACTGCACACTCCGCGCGAGTACTGATGAACCTCATGTGCCACACTGCTTGGCTTGGGATACTAGGAGAGTCCACATATTTTAATTCAATTCTTAACTAAATTCCATTGCCCTTCAGCTAGGGCTGCATCTTTGGTGTTCAGATTACACAACAAGCTTTTGGAGTATGACAGTTATCTTGATCGTTCTAGATGTAACTAACCCTCTTACTAATGAAAAGAATAGAATTTTAACCTTCATCGTCAAGTCATTGAACCGCCATTACGTAAATTTTATCGTACCCCACTCTAAGAGACCCTAGTGTATGTGATGGGATAGACTCAGTGACTGTATGGTGTGTAGGTGATCGAGTGCCTGGTGCCGCTGTCGGAGCTGCTCGGCTACTCGTCGGCGCTGCGCTCGCTGTCGTCGGGCCTCGCCGCCTTCACGATGGAGTTCCACTCCAACATGCGCATGTCGCCCGCGGACGAGCGGAACGCCATCAGGAACGTCACCGGCTTCTAACGTCCCTGCCCGCTTTATTACATTCATCTACACCAGGGGTCGGCAAGCTGTGGCCCTTTTGATGTAAAGTTCCATTTACAAAACAACCGATCCTATAAAATAATACGAGATAACGTTGACTTTATATAAATTCAAAACTATAATATGAATAATTTTAATACGAAATCTATTAGTACCGTGGCTCTATAGGAATTTTGTAACTTTATTGTATTCCGTTTTGCTTTTGTGTATTCCCTCTCATAAGGTTGCTCACCCCTGATCTAGAAAATTTGATTTTCGATACAATTACAGTTCGGAAAAACATCGAGAACTTGGTGATTTCGGAGTTCATGAAAAGTTTTCAATATATAGAGAAGTTCAAAATCGTTTGAGACGATACACTAAGTAAAAATGTATGTTATTTATAATAACGCAGAAAAGTTCATTATGAAATGGAAGTATAGTATAGTAACAGGTATTTTTTGTTTTAGAAAAATTAAAACCTTTAGTTTACAAGGAGAGCTGTGATTTATAAAATAAACTTATGTTATATTTGGGCTCGATTTTGTCACACGTTTATTTATCTATGATCATACTTAATCTCAACAAACATCTGTGTACTGATAAAATAAATGCCCTGTATAAATTCCAGTACAGTTTCCAGACAACTGTCGCTTAATGTTTAGTCGTTGGACATATTAAGCTGTAAATGTACAAATAATTTATAGTCTGAGACGGAGACTGTTCTCCGTCTCTGTTATACAATATTATTTATGAAACAAAATAAAAGTACTAAATAGAACATTTATTTTCATTTCAAATAATTTACAAATACCAAGTAAAACACACTCAATTTTCCCACGTCAACACACCCAGTACCTGTAAAGAAAACGTACACGTAACGCATACTTTATTATAATGACATCACGTGACATTTACAGATTCCTACAGCAGCACATTTGGTTTCTAAAAATGTCAAATCTGTAATCGATTATGAATTTAAAAATGGACGCATTAAGGTTTATAATAAATTGGAAAAAATTACATCGTTTGTACGGCCTGTGAAATTAGGTTAAGAATACGGACAAAAGGCTAAAATTGGCGCGTACCAAGTAGGTTGCATTTTACACCTTATGATTATTGAAACAAAAGTTACATTATAATGTAATCATTCGGTCGGGAATCGATGGATTGGTATATCAGCTCTGCTCAAACAAAGAGTCGATATTTATAATGAAGATAGGAGTTAATGTCGGTTGGGTACCTGAACTAGTGGCTAGTCGACGGTGACCCGGAACAGGTTGCCCAGCTCGTCGAGTAGCGTCTCGTGCCTGAAAGAGATCCGTATGTCGGGCACGTTGGTGCGCGTTATGTCGTTACCCTCGGGACCATCCTCCAGGTACGCTGAACCCACCCAGTACTGCTTCATCTGATGTTAGAAACCATCTCGCTAAATTATGTCCATGAAGTTTCAGATCCGGATATGAATACGAATATTAGAGAAATGTTATGTCGCTTTCGGATACGGTTATTTTTTTCGATTTATGTAAGTACTTACACTAGCGGCCCTTGGAGCGAGTACACTATTCATTTAATAGAACAACTCGTGAGCGGTTCTAACGCGTGTAATTTGTGAATTTGCATTTTTTAATGTTTGTTTTCTGTGTAGACACGGAAATATCATTTAGTTAATTGACATATTGAAAAAAATAGTAATACCTCGTGAGGGAATCCCGACATGAGCACAGAATTCCGTGCCAGTTCGCACATGTCGCACGAGCTCAGCTTCCAAGCCTGCGCCGCTATACTGTACTCCTCCATGAGCGGTTCCTGCAGTACAACTATAGAGTGAGTCGTCAAATAAACCAATATTTATAGAAGCGGCAGAAATATAATCCCGTCAAGTCTCAAGGTACAAAGGTGATTTTCATTTTGATTTCAAATTGAATGATTTAAATCCTTAAATCTTGAAGTGCCGTTTATTTTATACAAGGCTGCTGCCTTGTATAAGGTCAGGTCAGGCAATTGATTATGAACTCTACCCTTAATGTATTAAAGTTTAAAATAAAGTGGAGAATTTTAAGAGTTATGTTTAACCAAACTCGCTATGGACAATACAAAGTATGCTAACCACAATCATCAGACCTTTTACGTCTCCACTGCAAAGGCTCAGACCTTTCTTATGGATGGTTAAGGAGGATGAGTCATGACCATCCACGCTGGCCCAATGCGGATCGGAGGGCATTAATCACTGCAAATGCAACCGGGACCAACGGCTTAATATGCCGTCCAAAGCTCTAGATAATAATTTGTTGGTCACCCATCCCGTGATCGACTCTTGCGAAAGTCGTTTAACAACAAAGATCGTGGGCTGCGGCGCTTATCTACTACGCCAATCTCCTAAATGATAAAGGCGAAATCCCCCAATAATTTTCGTGCATACACTCACTCTCGTATAATGGAATTGTAGCGGGTCGTCAGTACTAAGCGTGACTCTGAGTCCCCTGGCGAAGTACTCGGGCAGTGGGTTACGGTGGTAACGGAGGAACAGCGAGTTGTTGCTCAGCGGAGACATCGCTATGAAGATCTGCGCCAGGTAGTACATGTACTGGAGCACCGGCACCTGGACACATTACCTATGTGAATAAAGACAAATAACATCTCGAAATTCAAAACAATAATGCACATCAAAGATGTTTTAGTGTCGCTCAATATGTATATCTTTGTTGCACATTTGGTAATTTTCTATTGGATAAGTTATTTGGTCGTTCAAAACAAGTTTATACAAATATATTAGGGAGGAAAGATTTTATTGTTTGTTTGCATCAAATAGGCTCCCAAACTACTTTACAGATTTTAAAAATTCTTTCACTTACGGAAAGCTACATCAAAATAGGCTATATTTTATCCCGAATAACAGCAGATAAAGGGATGAAAATGCGAGTGGAAGTTTTAATAGGGAATTGAAAGGTTACCATAGTAACCAATGTTTACAATTCCGTGTCATAATATGAATCGATATCCAAATAAACAGTTCCCTAGGGACCACGCGGGCGAAGCCGCTGGCGGAAAGCTAGTGTTCTATATGACTAAAGCCGGTATTTCTACTCTGCACTAATGTCTTCTGGACATCTATCGATTGCCTAATATAAAATGCCTTTGGCATTGAATCCATTACCTGCTGTAATTTGCCAATAGAGAATAAAAATATTTGGAACAGTAGGTATAATGTAGTTTTGTGTGAGAACATATTACCTTCCTCATGATGAGTCCGTGCGAGATGTTGTCGGCGAGCAGGAACGCCGCACACATGTGCGTGGGCGGCCCCGCCTCCCCGCAGTGAGGCCGTAACAGGAACGTGTTCAGGCCTTGCTCTCTGAAATTCACATTTAAAGTTTGATATCTGATCTAAATTGCCAGGTACTTTTGTGGAGTATTCGGAGATTAGAGTAGCTGATTCATAAAAAATTTAAGAGATAAGCTGTGATAGATATTCATTAGAACATATTACTTATCCGATATCAAAGCCAAAAAAATACTTTCATAGATGGGAATCGACATCATATGGGGGTGACATAGGCTATTATAGGTAACGCTGGGAAAGCCAACGAATTGCGGGAAAAAAAACTGGTATGTTGTAAATGTTAGCTCTAAGGATGAGTCAATGAGAATAAAAGGAGACTCACTTGCGTAACTGGTTAAGCATGACCATATTGGCGTACATATAGTACAAGTAGTACGCGTATGGAGGATTCTCCTCGTCATCCCAGTACTCCGGAGTCTTCATGCCGGGGTGCAGATGAGGATTTTCAGGTTTAGATTCATCGTCCACACTGTCGAAACCGATAACGTGCTACGGACGATACACATATCACGCGTCAGAAGTGGTCACTTGCATTTATAACAGAATTATTGTCGCCAAACTAATCAATTATTTCACCCAGCAATTACAACACCCAGTCAGTATGTGCAAGACCAGTGCGCTCCGCCCGCACAAAAATTTACGTGTACAAAGTCTCGAGAAAATTACCACTCTCTAGATCTCTTGCTCCATTGAATGCTAGATATCATAGTTACAAGATTATAGCAATATTTTCAAAAGTACTAGCAAAATAAGCAGTTCAGCTAAGCTATGGGTTATTCTCGTGAAAACTATAAGATATTAAAAACAGTATAATGATAATGCAAAGCTGAATAAAAACAATATTATAATTTATCAAATACCATTAAGCTAGTTTCAGAATATATCTGGTTTTTTCCTTCTTCTGTCGAGCAAAGAAAAAATATGGAAGCGTAACCTAACGTTAATTTGCAACTTTCTAGAAATCTCAAGGGCTGGAAAATGTATTATGAATGGTACCGTGAGGAATTTATGCAGTTCTGGATTGGAATTCGGATCAACGGATACTTGGAACAATGGGTCGAAGAGGTTGTTCAGGAACTCTTGGAAATTACGCAACAGTTTGTTGATGCGGTATATATCGCTGGAAATGATTTTCAATTTAAATTTCAGAGAACCATAGAATAAATTTAAAAAAGAACTATGTTATTTCAAACTATATTTATCTAATCCGTAGAGGCTTCTTGAATCGAGTTCTTTTTCTGTTTTGTCACATTTTATTCTTATTCTAGTTATACAGCTAAGAGTTACTTCTTTATGTTAAACGGTATTTATTATTGTGTCCTTTTTGTTGTGTCCTTTCAGTCTTAAGTGAAAATGACTAAGTATAGCATTATCACAGTTACATCGAGTGTTAGTTACTAACTATAGTCGCGGCACCTGCACCAGCCATCGCACGTGTGACGAGTGTACGTCGTTGTGCAGCGCCCACGTGGCGAGTTTGTTCCATTCGTTCTTATTCTTGCAGTAGATGGATATACGAGGCTCCACATACGTATACTTAGTCTCCTGTAAATCCGCTATTACCTCCTGCGATATCAAAGGTAACTGATAAACATCGAAACAAAAAAAGGGCATCATTATTATTCGAGGTAGTATCCGTCTATTCCAATCAGCACCATTCTGAACAAAGTAGGGAGGATAAAGATTGTTTAAGATGTTAATGCTAAACTTCAAGAGAGTCCTACCTTGATAATCCTAGCGAAATATTTTCCATTTAAGTAATTGTCAGTCTTTAGGAACACCTCTCGCAGGCGGCTCTCTCCTACCGGATTATATTTCGCGTTAAATTTATCGAACCGATGGAATGTATTGCGATCCTGCAAAAAATGACCATTACCACTGTTCATCACCATATAAGACAAATAGTAATGAAAAGTGTAGACTAGTCGATAATACCGCGTGCACGTCGAGGATATCGACATTGAGGTCGTAAGCATCGAGCTGCATCTCCTCGAAGACAGCCTTCAGAGTCATCGGCACGTTGTCGTGCATGGTGACCACCTCGGCCGCGTGCTGTCGCAGCGTACGCTTTATGAACCGCAGCAGGTGCTTCTGGTTCATACACGAGGCGGCGTGTATGTGGGTGTCCACTTTCCTTTATCATAACACGGGTGTAGACAGTAAACGTAAATAAATACATATATTTTTTCTGGTAGTGTTTAATGTACTGTATGAAAAAAATAAATATTTTATGCTCATTGTCACGTGACCGCAAACAGCGCGTGACGGCACGCCCTTCTTATATCAGAACTTAGAGAATTGAACCTTACGCATACATAGAATGATATTCGTTTCCGAGTGCCATGACGTCGTAGCGACGCCATGACAGAAATGGCATTTTCGTGAGAAATTTTGAAAATCAAATATATTTTTAAAAAAATTTTTTTGAAAATAAAATATATTTCATATATATGTATAAAATAAAAATATGTAAAAAGGTGTCTACATCTTCATTAAAATATATTATGTCAATTACTGAACGGGTTTAAAAAACTTATACCAATCCTTTCGAGTATGACCCTCCTGTTTTGTTACTCTATTAAAACATCCTCGAATTCGTTGTCGAACGCAACGCTGTGATAGCATTTAGCTTCAATTAAAACCATTTTGAAATAGGTTTTATTATTTGATTGAGCTCGAAGCAGTTTTGAGAATATCTTTACTGTAAGTACTTAAAGTTTACCTTATATTGTAGAAATCCCGATGAGGCACTGCTTTCTGCAGCGCGAGCTCGTGTAACTCATTGAGCAGGGCATGCATCTTGAACTTCGAGGACAGATACGACAACCGACGGTAGCAGAACGACTTACTATAATGTAATACCGGTGGTTATTACAGATCTCTTTTTCTTTTGATGCATAAAAATCAAAAGTAGCTTAATCGTTAACTCAAAGTAAATATTTTCGTAAAACTATCGGCATGGGAAGGGGGGCGGGGAGCTGTAGATAGTAGGTAGGTAATACGATGGCACTTCTATACAAAAGAATTTGCAGTCGTCGGTGGAACCTAGGTACATCATCATCAGCCCTATTAAGTCTCCATTGCAGGGGCTCAGGCCTTTCTTATGGATGATTCAGGAGGATGTGCCATGACCCCCCACGCTGGCTCAATGCGGATTGGAGCGAATTAACGACTGCAAATGCAGCCGGGACCAACGGCTTAACGTACCTTCCGAAGCACAGAGTGGCTCGAGATAATATTTTTTGGTCACCCATCTCTTGAACGATCGCGGGCCGCGGCGCTTATCCATTACGCCACCAAGCTACTCTACTACTACCTAGGTTTCAAAATCATTTTGTGCTGAGTTAAGACCGTAAGCGACATAGCACTCACAGCGGTCCATCGTTGACCATATCGGAGAGTCGGTTCAGATCCTCGACGTACTGCTCGAAGGAGATGTATCGGTAGGGGAGCGGCTGGTCCGCGTCGGCAGCGGCCGCGTCCCTGTACAGCCGCATGGCGCCGTGCCGCCACCGGCACTCGTAAGGCCGCGCGGGAGGCATCGGACATGCCCACGGGTCCAGATCCACTGGCGAACGAGATTAAGACTTTACGTTACATTACTGGAATATAAAACGTAACATTTGTCGATAGTCTCGTCGCGGTCGGTCAGTAGCGGATAACGTTTTGTCTCATGCTGTTGATTATAATCTAGATTGCTCTCGTTCTCGATTTATCTCAGTCGTAGCTGTTACTCGTTTCCTTTAAGCCTCATTTTTCTTTGATTATTGATTCAAGTAGGGGTAGGTTCGAGTCTCCATTTAATCCTTTTTGTAGCATTAGATGCTGTTCGCGTCATATAGTGGTCATAAAGTGTAACATTCGCCGTTTCGACACATATAATTTTATTGTTATAGGCTCGATAGGTAAGTATTTAGAAGTGTGTGACAAACTTGCTGTGAGCGGTTGCGAGAGGTCTTCGTGGCTCTCTATGGAGGGGCGCGTTGTACTGGGCCGCTGGATGTAGCTGCGGGTCGTCGCCATCTCGTTCACTGTCATACATGTGGTAGGTATGATAACTATAATATCTTCATCTACACTAAATTAATTGGTACACTTACACGAGAGTAACTGTGGGTCATATTTTCATAAACATAGATAGCCCCTAAGCATTGATTGGTTAACATATCACTTGAGATTAGAATATCTTTATAGAAATACATAGGTTAAATTGCCCAATTGAAATAAATCATGAAAAACTTTATTTTTATACGAAATATATTTGACGATTGAAAATTTCAAAAGACAATAACATCATAATGAATTATAATATGGACAATCTATATCGTAATGGATAGAATATAAATAATTTAAGCTTATTATTTTTGTCCGATCAAAGTTCATATTAACACAGTTCAAACGAGCGCCAACTCGGTGGGCTTGTTTCGTTTATCTAATTACAGAGTTCTCTTGGTTTTCTTCCAGCTCCATTCCATATTAATATTGCACAGTATATACACAACACTCATGCGAAATCTCAGGTCAATTGAGAATCGGGAGAGAGAAACGAGTGTAAAACTGATACCAGAGTAGGTTATACTATGACGGTACCTATATAAAAGCTTGTACGTAAATAAGGAAACATAATGTAAAGTTATGAAATAACTCACTGCCGATGAAGGAGCGTTGTGGGCTGGTGGCATGGTCTATATTGTCCGAGGAGCAATTCGTCAACTGCAAGTACCGCTCCGCCTCTTCCGCTAATGGGCAATTTACAAGTTTTATGAGGCACTCGATAACGCAACTATTTTCGTATTCGGTTTCCAATTGCGGAAGTTGAGTAACTTTAGCAAAGACCATTCGTAAGATGGGTGATAAATATTTTAATATCAAATCATAGTCTTCTAAACTTTGAAAGACATGTAAAGCCGTGAGCCCCGCAGCATCTGCAGTCATTGAGTCTGGATGTTGGTAGTGTGAACATTTAAAGAGGCCAATGGTGGTATGTATACTTATTGGGTGATCTATACAACGCTAATATTTGAATAATTTCACCCTTACTGCCGATATCCTTTAATGCTTTATCGAAGATTATGGAAAAGTGGTTTTTGTTTCTGGCAGTGCGCTGCGGCAGGCCGCGGCCAACCAGGTACTGTGCCACAGACTTGCAAAACGACTGCCCTGACACGTCCATATACTGCTGCCGTAGATTCAGCGCGCTTATTAGAAGCGATGCTGCCCTTACCAGGTCTTCCAGGGGAACCTGTGTATGTTTTTCTTAAGAATTGATATGCCAATGTCTATTATTAAGAATTATATATTTTAATATGTCAAAATTATCACGTTCAACGGCCCATGCCCGGCTCGGCGTATGAGTTAGGTTTTCGCAACAGAGAGTTAACGAATGGGAAGTAGAAAATTCTTTTAAGAATAATTGTCGCCCACGGTGAACAGTGTGTTTCGATATCTGTGGGACTCACCCCAGTGACATGTATACCGCTGACGGAGACCCTCTGGAAGGGCACCTGGCTATCGGCGATACCCAGCTGTTCGTCGGGACCACGCACGTATGTGCGCGTCACGTGGCCCACATTTCGCTGCGTGTCGCTGCAAATGAGCCATCCATACAGTTTAGAGCTATGCTATATCGCATACTACTTGAACTTAATGAAATGAGTCTCAGAATACCTTTTGGTATTCTGAAATTCCGCGCGATGCACGGTTGCCCACAGAGCTCTGTGAAAAATTTATTTCGGTTGTCCTCAAAGTTGCCAAAGTTACAGAATATGGCGGCAGGTCTACCCAACTAATTCGGGGAATTATAAACTCTCCAACTAATTCGGTTTTAGTTTTGGGTTACGTGCGTGTACAAATGAATAATTCTAAAAAGTCTTTACGTGTTATACTATATTGATAACTAAAAGAAAACAAACAGAACTTTGAATGGATTATTAAAAAATATACCAATTAGATACTTACGTTCGCGACCGCCTCCATTTCTTATATTCTTTCTGTGTGTTAAACATTTTTACGGAACAGGTTTAATATGTACTATACACCAAGTTGAGGATATAAGGGCTAATACTTTGTTTCATTTAGAACTTTATCCCATTTTTATCTAAAAATTATTTATTTTCATATTAAATCCATAACTTTAAGATTTCTGTCAGCGTTCTCAAAAGACAATTTAATGATCAACATCAAAATTTTATTTACCCTCTCATTGACAGTAGAATACAACCAATACAGGAACCAAAATTTATGGTATCCATAAGAAAATTATTATAACTTCTATTTGATTTCCTTTGACTGAAGTTAAAATATCGTAAAGAGATTTACATGCGCACTAGAAACTTCTTGCGTACTGGAAACATATGTAATAATACTCTTTGATATGTACGCAATGGAGAAAACAGAAAAAAATTGGACTAACTTCAAACTTTAAATAAGTATTATTTAATACTCATCTCAAAAGCGACTTATTCAAGAAAATGCTGTTGAAATCGAGCGGAGGTTTTCTGTGGGTTATTAATTAATTGACAGGCGCCCGACCGTATTATTTATTACTGTTTTAAAGTTTAGACTGTTCTATTTTTACCCGACTGCGCGACGCAAAGGAGGGTAATGTGTTTATCAGTCTATGTATGTATTTTTTTAATTCTAATTTTCTTATTTATTGATTAAAGTTTTTATTTAAAACGATAACGACGTTGTATAAACGATATACAAACAAAGAAAAAGCAGTGAAAAAGCATGAAGAACAAATATTTTTGATAAAAAAATAAACCATATGTAGCTTTGAGCCGAGTTAGGTCTTTAGTGGGACTAATCATCAGTAGTTTAGACCACCGCAAGTTACTTAATAATCCCCACGATATTAACTCCCTCAATTAAATGACTAGATTACGAAATTTACCATCTTATAACGAAGTCAACGAATCGTAACTTAAAAGTATAAAATAATAATAAATAATTTAAAGAAAAACAAATATCCCGACTGCGTAAAAACGAATTTAAAAAATTAATACATGAAATAAATAACTTAAATAAAAACTAAAAAGAAAGAAACAAGCCCAGTAGTTTAGAATTCTGTTAAGTAATAATTATTCGCTAGCGCTATTCAATAAATTGACTAGCCGCCCAATTGAGCGGCTGTTTTAACGAGTTGGCTGCGACATATACATCATACAGTTCCGTCCATTGCATTTTTCATTCCATTTCATTTCATAATAATAAATCAATTATCGACTTGGTCAAAAAATAAAACTGGAATACAATTTATAATCTTTATTTGTTACTAAAACATTCGTTTGTGTTTATACGACACTTTGAACACTTAATTTACAGCAGAAGAACAAAACGGTTTTCTTATTACCTTCGTAAATATAATTACGTCATATTGCTTATATATTAAAAAATTAAAATATAAAAGTAATAGACATGCCATTAGGACTCTAAAACATTCAAGATTCGCTATCTAATGTGAGACACGTGTGGTATTAAAGTATGATTAGCTAGTATATGTATTAAACTAGCGAAGGTCTCTTGAGGCTCACGATGGGCGCGGTGAAGTCTGGCGGTGGTGGCGTGGTGGGGGGTACAGTAGGACTCCTCACATACCCAGGCATATGACGCGCCTGAAATCACAAGCACCATTTAAAAATAAAAATATTGTACCAAAATAAAATATCCACCTCCATTTGAGGTGGATATAACTGCTCATAGATGGCGCTAGTTTTAAAATTGTGGTTTTAGATTTAATTTCTAATAAAATGTTTGTATATTTGGTTTTAAAGAAACATTCTGTAGTATCATTCATCAGTGTATTGTCACGTGGTATATATATCGACAATTTAACTATGCAGAAAAATTAGATAGGAGGACAATAACCCACCACGTAAGTCTAAAACAGTTATGAATCCTAACGACTACAGATCCATTCCTACACGATAATTGCGCCATCAAGCTTTTCATTCTGTCTTTCGTATATATCTAGACGTGCAAATCAAAATATTTATATTTAGACTTGTCTGTTCGTTCTACTTTTCGGATTATTAATATCGCTCTATCCAAATCTTATATCTCATCTGAATTCTGTTTAAAGTACAGAGCTCTAAAGCTATATATGTCGAATATTGATAAATTCCTTACAGAACAGGAGATCCCGATTTCATCCTAGGGTCATTCGTCTTAAATGAAATGATAAATACTCCATCGGATATCCTTCCAAAGATAAATCTAAGTAATCGCTTTCTAGTATGATTAGAGATGAGAGTTGCTTAGATTTTAGTAAGTATTGTAAATGAACAATATGAATTAAATAATTACGTGTAAATATTCAAACTATCAATTATTTCGTCATATAGAAACGTTGGCAGGTAAGTGTATATAATAATTATTTGACCAATCATGTTAGCACTCAAACACTTAACTCTATGTACCTTAAAAGAAGATGGGCGTGGCACACCGCGCTAGCTAATCCAAAAAACAGACTTATTAAAATACTATACATACAAACAAGTAGGAATGGATACAACTACATGTTTCAACAAGTAAATCTGCTCAGGATCTACTTCGGTTATTTCTGCTTGAGTTCTAGATAAAATATTTGGTAAACCATAGTATGAAACTATATTAATATGATATTTGTTTCATCTAAAACTTCCATTAGCACAAGGAACATTATCAGAAGGTATGCTACAACTAAACTGCTAGGTGTATAACCAAAAGGCAATAATAAAAGCTATATGCAATGTAAATTTTATTTCCAACAATTTGATTAACATTGAATGCATAATTAAAACCAATAATTACAAATACACGTGTGTAAATATCATTGTATAGTGTTAGTTACTTAATACACGAAAAATTCTTAGCCAATAAGTAAAAAACGTATATCGGAGATTCTTAAAAATAAATTCATGCGCAAAAATGAAAAAAAATGTAACATTAAATTTTATAGAAAAGCTGATAAGTGTAATGAAACTGATTATTATAGGCAATCAGAAATCACAAACATTAACACAGAAGACATTCCCTAGAAACATGTTTTGCGGTCTCCCCGTGGCATAGTAAAATCTGTAATTTGAGCCTCAGTCATAAATACATTGTTACATTACATTTATATAAGTTAAATTAAGAAAATCACTAGCCGATGAAACGATTTATGAATAATCATCATGAGAGCTTTTTATTTTATAACAACTTTCCTACTAAGTTAATGTTGATAATATTATTATGAAAGCTCTGATTAATTCGCCGTAAACAAATATATGTTAGAACAATAAGGTTACAAATAACTAGGTTATTATATAAAACACATTACAGGTACAGAATAAAACTGTAAAAATTAGTTATTAATTCATCATTGAGGAAGTAGGACACAAAAGCGAATAAGCCGACTTACACATAAAACTATACAATATAACGAACGATGATATCGAATGAGGACACATCAAGTATGTTAGGTAGCACCTTTCACTCTACGATCTATCGTGACTTAGGATCCTAGTAAAATTCGAAGGAAAAGCACGAGGCTCATTTTATAAGAAGCATTGAATACAGTATCAATGAAATGGCACTTACAATCTTTCACATTCTTAATATCACATTCGGAATGTCTATAAATCTAATAGATTTAACTGCTATTAAATTGGGGCACTTTTTAAGCCCTACCTAACATAATAATATTGTATACTTTTTAAACTTGTAAAACGGATCCATTATACATTGTAAACATTACAATAACGCGTGTTAATCCATTGGCACATCCACTGGTCTGCATGTTGGATGTGTTTATCTGCGAGTTGACATTCCTTCCTGAAATATCATTATCATCATTTAATAACAAGAGTGAAATAGGCGCTCTTAGAATATTAGAATTATTAATAAAGGCGGTTATTGGAAAGAACAAATTAACAACACAAAACATGGACAGAGAAGCAAACTGTATAAAGCTTGGTCTGATCAGGAATTCCGATTCGGAGACCCATAAGCGCGCCCTTAATATAAAATGTACAGCGACATGTACATGTTCATTTATTTTTCAGTTCGTCTTGTGTTAACGTGTAAGACCAGGCTTAACAATAAACGGAACGAATCCAGAAAATCATTATTTAATTAGTTTTGAAATGTTAATGAAAATTTTTGTTTCTCAAGCAGATCAAAAAGTATGATGAAGTCGTCTAAGTAAGCGAATTGATAAAACCATTAGGAATTGGATTTATATCATTTATACGTATTTGAATGTAATACGAAAATTTAAGTAACGTATTACATTCAAATACAAAATTCTAAATTCTACATCTCAAGGATTGGGTAAGCTAAGAATTAAAAATAGACAACTTTTTACAGAAACTCTAATTTGACAAAAGGTTAGAGTGAAATCAATTCTGTGTATTCTCATAATTTAATATAATGTATCATATGATGTATGTTATTACAAACTTAATGCGGAGTATTTGAGGAGTATTACGTTATTGTATGTCTCATCATATGTAATTGATCAAGTGTGGTCATTAATTACCTTGAAGATGTTAGTGAGTTCGTCGAGCAGCGTCTCGTGGCGGAAGGAAATACGTATATCCGGTACATTGGTACGCGTGATATCGTTGCCCGCAACACCTTCTTTCATGTAATTAGGCCCCAACCAGTATTGTTTCATCTAGACAGTACATATTGTCAATCAATATAAAAAAAAATTTGTTCGGTACACATGTTTACTCTTAATATCCCGTTAAAACACTGTTACGGCAATAAATTGACAAATGCTGACCTCGTGTGGGAATCCCGACATGAGTACAGAGTTACGCGCCAGCTCGCACATGTCGCACGAGCTCAGCTTCCACACCTGCGCCGCGATACTGTACTCTTCCATCAGCGGTTCCTATGCAAATATCAGCAAATTAATTTATTAATATATATAAATTCCAATACTGGCTGTACTTTTGTCGATTTCTTAACATCTGAAAAGTGACGAAAAAATTTACATGCTATGGTAAATATTTAACTAGCCATTTATAATGTAACGAGTGTGGTTCGACTAGTATAACTCCACCTACCTTAGTGAAGTGGAATTGCAAGGGGTCGTCGGTACTGAGCGTGATGCAAAGGCCGCGCGCTAGAAACTCGGGCAGGGGGTTGCGGTGGTAGTTCAGGAACAGCGAGTTGTTGCTGAGCGGAGACATAGCGATGTAGATCTGAGCCAGGTAGTACAGGTACTGAAGAACCGGCACCTGGGGGACATCAACTGTATATTTTAGCCCACATTTCGACGGTCACTTCTACTTTGACTCCTTCCACGGGCGATTTCATACCTTCCGCAGCAGCAATCCGTGGGAAATGTTCTCCGCCAGCATGAACCCGCACACGAGATGCTGCACGGGCCCAGCTTCACCGCAGTGAGGCCGCAACACGAACGTGTTCAGACCCTGCTCCCTGTTAAGGAAACGCACTCATGTTTACATAAAGTGTTTCCACTCGTCTGACTGAACACAGGCCTATGTGATGTGTACTGACTTGCGCGCGTGGTTGAGCACGGTCATGTTGGCGTACATGTAGTAGAGGTAGTAGGCGTAGGGCGGGTTCTCGTCCTCGTCCCAGGCGGCGGGCGCGCGCACGTCCGCGTCCAACATCGGGTTCTCCGGCTTGGACTCGTCGTCCACGCTGTCGAACCCGATCACGTGCTGCAACAGAAGAAACGATTCAATATAACAAACGAACGACATATTTGTAGTAATAATGAAGTCACAAAATGTTTGCAAAATAGATCCGAACAACAACATAAAAGTACTCGTACACAATTAAAGAATTGAAAACGATATTATTGGTGCCTTCGTGTTTCTCAAACATAGAAAATACTAATCAGTCATCTAGGTAGGAGAAAATATACCATCTTATCGTTAGTAAGCTGTATGAGTTCTTGTATTTGCTTTCTAAAGATATGCACCAGATAAAACCTTGGGATACTTACAGTAAGGAACTTATGGAGTTCGAGATTGCTGTTAGGGTCGATGGTAACTTCGAACAGCGGCAGGAATATGTTGCTGAGGAACTCTTGGAAATTGGTCATTATCTTGTTGCTCTTGAAGATATCGCTGCATACATAAAGGGTAATGTTGAAATAAAAGAGTAGAAGTTTTTAAATGAATACTGATTGTGTGTTTTTATCATGTATTAATGATGATGAGATTTTGGTATTTAAATATATTGGAGACCCATTATCGAAGTTTAAAATTACTAATTTTGTACATCCAATGTATATATTTTGTTTTTTTAGAAGTCAAGTATTCTTGACTTCAAAAAAAACAAAATATAATGTTATGGTTTTAAACTAAAGTATCTAAAAGTACTTAAGGACTATAACAGCTCCTAGTTATATCCCACTAAAAGGTAATAAAGAGATAATAAATAGTCTACATGTATATTTTATATTTTGGAGGTAGGTATTTTTGTGAGAAAATATGCTAATTTATTCCAAAAAGCTACCAGTTTTAATGAGTATCCATCTAGAGACCCAACCAAATTATTGCTACCCAGATGTGTAAGTGACATTTACCACAGAAATAGTTCTTTTATGTTAGTAAAAATATATAATAGAATTCCAAGGAACTTCCATTTAATTATTTTAAAAGGCAACTTACCGAATGGCTCTGTGATAGATGTTTTTATTCAATTAAGGAATTTATGAATAAATAATAATTAATGTAACTATACATTAATAATGACTTGGTACTGACAGTAATAATGACTTAATATTGATTCTGCTTGATTATGACATAATTTACAATTCGCAAATTTTTACATTATTTGTTGTGTTCGGTAATGAAGAATGTTACTAGGTATGCCAAATCGCTTGAAATTTTGTCTCAATAAAGCCCTTATGTATATAAATACACTAGTTTTTGTTGTAGTCAAAAATACCTAGTAATTTTGATTTTATATGCATTCAAAGTTTCGAAAAATATCGAATCCCGCTAACAGCCACGTGACCGCTTGTGACGTCATGTCACAACGCGCCGTGCCCCGCTTAGTATCAAGTCGCCAGCGGTTATAGTAGATATAATAGTTTGCGCAATATTTTGTTGTGTTTTCGCCCGTGTATTAAGTTAATAGTCTAATAATATTAAATATCATTCGATTAATAAAATAGACAAAGGATTCGAGAAAGGGCAATCGGATAATCTACCTAAAATAAAATAAAAGTTGCGCATTATTTATTAACAAATAGTAATTTCGTTGCCGCCGAAATGCGAGGAATAAAAATGCATAGGTAAGTAAACTTTCCTTGCTACTACTGATGCTTAATAGTTTATCTGTTCTAAATTGTTTTATCAAAACAAAATACGCAACTAATGTCGTAATGGAAGAATGCAATACAAATAGTAGAAGTACCTACCTATCATTAAATTTTTAAGTTAAAGACAAATATGTATAATAGTTTTGTAGCTATAGGTAGGTACGTATGTATATATAGGTACCGCTCTTAGTAAATTTAAATAAATACCTTTTTTAATATTTACGTTATTAATACAGACTTCGTCAAGATCTGTTCAGTAGTTTTTGTATGAAAGATAACAAACAAATACACACACAAACTTTCCCATTTATAATATAAGTAGGAAGTAGGATAGGTACCTAGGATGTAGACGTTGTGGGTTAAACGTTACAGATGTTCTAAACCTTTTTTTATTTGTATTTTTTTTACTAACAAAATACGTAAGGCCATTTTATTAAATAATTTTTTGTTGCAAATATAGAAGTTTGAACAGATGTACTAAACCTTTTTTATTTATTAGTATTTTTTTACTAACAAAATACTTAAGGCCATTTTATTAAATTATTTTTTTGTTGCAAATATAGAAGTTTGAACAGATATACTAAACCTTATTTATTTATTAGTATTTTTACTAACAAAATACTTAAGGCTATTTATTTTTATTTGAAACTTATTTCAGATCGGCAAGAAACATCTATGGCAATGATGCTATTGGTTATGTTCAAGTTAAAAGAGTAGGTGATGTATGTACGGTTAAATGTAGAATCACGCCAGAACACCGCGTACGTACGACACCTTATCATTGCAGTTTAGAATGCAATGAAAAGAAGTATTAAATGATCAAGAAGTATTAAATGTAAGAAGTATTAAATGTAAGAAGTATTGAATGTACCTGCGAAGATTGTGCCGCCAGCAGAGGCGGCTTTAAACATACTGTAGCATTTTTAATGTGGCTACATCGTCGAAACGAAGAGCCTTCAACGACTGCTACCAAGTGTTATTGAAAAAAATCTAAGCTCTCAGGTGTTGTTACCACACTGAAAATGTTTAAAGCTAAAGATTTTGGCACAAGTGGTATAACACTTCATTTAGCCGGTCAGAATGACTTTTTTTTTGACAAAGTAACATTAAAACTTAGAGAGCTTCAAATACAGTGTTCTCTTTCACATTTTATATGTGAAAAAAAAATAGGTTGAAAAGATGTCTATAAAAAACAACTTTCCCGGCGAATTAGTAGTTTTATTTTTACATTTAGGCACAACACATGATTTTCTAGTATTTGGATTGGACATTATTAAAAGTATTTAGGTAAAATTTCGACGGCACGGGCGCGCGACTGCGAGCGGACTAAGTGAGCCAGACTGTGCGTGTTGTGTAATGACGTCACACCGTCACTGGCAGCCCGCGTCGTGCGGTTACAACTTGTTTTACTTCTAAATCGGAAAGTAATTGTCGTATCGAAGTAATTCTTTCACTAGTATTTTTTATTTTTGACAAAGAATATGGAGTGCTAATAAAAAAAAATTTTTAACATTCTTCATTGTAGTGACATTGATTAACTTTGACATTTTTATATTTTGCATGCTGAAGATTTAGCGAAATATGCTGACCAGTGTACCCTATCCTAACATCTATGTAACCATGTTTCTAGCAAAATAAATTATTATTATTATTATAACAAATTCTCACTAAAGTCTTGGTATCTGTATGAGCCACCGCACGTTGTCCGAGTGCACGTCGTATTGTACTGCCCACTTGGCAAGCTTGGCCCACTCGTCCGGACTTTTGCCGTATATCGAAAGCCGCAATTCCGCATTCTGGTACTTGCTCTCCTCTAAATCTGAGGCTACTTCCTAGGGTACAATCATCAATACTCATATGGCATGATACATATTCTGATTGATTTTTTTTATTATTTGATAGACTATAAAATTTAGCATATGTGGAGACTGACCTTAATGATTCTGGCGAAGTACTTCCCGTTCATGTAATTGTCAGTCTTAAGAAATACCTCGCGGAGTCTGCTCTCGCCAATGGGGTTGTATTTAGCGTTGAATTTATCGAATCGATGGAAGGTGTTGCGATCCTACGGTGCAAAATAATTTTCATATGTAAGTATTTTATTAACTACTATCACATTAAATGAATTCAGGTAACAAATTACATTTTTTCACATCTTCATAATTTTAAAACTTCCTTTTGAACAATTTTCACATTTTTGTAAAGCCACACGTGTCGTGCATTTACAAAATTATAATACATAAACTAGCTTTCGCTTGGTTGCCCCGGGCTGCGAGCAGCCCGGGGAGGTCACGAGTAGCTGGTGGAATTGGGGCGGTGGGGTTTCAAGTCCGCCTATTGTTATGTCGGGTTTACAGTTTGAAATTGCGTAGAAAAGGTCAGTAAGTTCTATCTTCAAATAAAAGGTGTTAAAGGACACAAAGCACCATACATCAAAGAAAAAGTGTTGCCAGTTGACACTTAATAGAAAAATAAATATTCAGTCGAAAAACGTAAGCAAAACTTATAATAAATTTTGCATAGATACTTAAAATATATTTTATCGTTCATTCTCTTATTCTTATTTATTAGTAAATTACTGTATAATGTTAAAAAACAATCGAACATATATTTCCATCAGTGTTACTATCATTAATTAATCAATTAAATGTCAAGAAATAGTATTTATTGTATTTGCATTATTACATTACGTTATTTATGTAAGATTTATTTATTATACGAAAAGGGAACCGATGTCGTGGCCAGATATTAGAATAGATAAATTCACGACGCGATGGGGTTTTAAGTCCGCCTTCGTTTCAGAATAGAAGCTTTCGCCCGGCAGCCCGGGGAGGTCACGAGTAGCTAGTGGAATCGGGGCGGTGGGGTTTTAAGTCCGCCTCCGTTGCAGAATTTGAGTCTTTCGATTTTTTTATTATGTTTGTTTTATAGTCTGAAATCGCCTACAAAAAGTTAATAAGTTCTGTCTTAAAATGAAAGGTCATCATAAAATGCACCAACATCAAAGAAAAAGGGTTGCCAGTTTACGCTTAACAGAAAAAGAAATATTCAGTCGAAACACGCAAGCAAAACTAAATAAATTATAGTCTCTTATTCTTATTCAATAGTGAGTATATATTTAGTATGAAAAAGGATCGAGTAGATATTTCCCCCAGTGTTACCTTAAATAATACACCAAATAAATAAATGTCAAATTTCAAACTCATACCTACGTAGAACACTTTAATTTTGAATATCAAAAGAACATGTTTTCTCAATAACTAAAAGTATAGAAAAATATATTTAACGTATTAAATATCGTTCGTTCAAAAATTGGATTTTCTTTTCTCTATACTTACCTATGTGAAAGTGTGGGTACATACCTACACAAATAGTCCATATATACACGCTATAAAGATCCCGAATTGTCAAGTCCATCAAAATCAAAATTGAAATTAAAATGGTCACGATCATCTTTTAAACATTTTTAAACCAAATGTTACCATCAACAAAAGCGATTCGTTTCTGGCACTTCGCCGGCCGCTGCCGCGGCACGCTCGCTACGCTCGCTCGGCTCGTGCGTTGTTTTTCATACACTAACCTAACCTAACCCATATGTCATAATAAACCTATACAAGTTTTTGTTGCTTTACTTATTGTAAAGTTCTTGAGCATAAACGAGTCGCTTGTGGAATCGGAGCGGTGGGATTTTAGTGAGTTCTATCTTCAAATGAATTATGTTTAAGAACACAAAGCTCTATACGTCAAAGAAAAAGGGTTGCCGGTTTACATTA